TTGATTCCACTGACGGGGGAGGATTTAGATCTGTAGGAAGCAGAAAACAACTGAACTTGATTCTCTTTTTAACATTTCTCGTCATTAGAAGAACGCACTAAAAATTCTAACCCATGCATTTCCAAATTATCAAAATGGAGTAACAAAGACCATCAGAGCAACTGCCCAACTAAAAGGCACATTTAGCACAAGACAGTAAACCAAATATAATAAAGAATGAGAAGAAAGGGGAAAAAAAACTATCTGAAACACAAGTTTAAAACCCAAACCTCATCTCTAAGGCACAGAGATAATGTTACTCTGTGTACGAGGAATCAGAAGGAAAACCAAATGAAATATATAAAAAATAACAATAAACAGACTATGTTCCCCCATTGAGATTTATGATTCATACTTGGTACCCTCTCACGTGCACGAAGCCACTATAATGTACAAGAGGAACCAGCAAACTACTTCCAACAGACATCTAGGCACAAAAGTTTATAAAACAGATGCAATTCAACAGAAGAGCCTAGCAGCTGAGTGATACGCGAAGAAAATAATGGCATCAAGTTTACAAATAAGATTACCTGAAGTCCTGAGCATCACAAGATCTCAACTTGGAATCAGAACTCATTTTAGGAAGCATGGGTCGCTTGAGGTCCCTGTCACTATTTATAACCCTACCACTAACCATCCCAACAGATCGTTTCTTTTTATTTTTTGTATCCCACCCTTCACCTCCAGCAGGTAACCTGCGTATCTTTTCTTCAAAGCGAACACCGACTGCACCAACATCAGGAAGCGCGTCTCCAGCCTTTTCCATTGCTAACTGCTGCCTTGGGCTGGGGCTTCTCTTACCATCTGGCTGTAAGCATCCAAGAAGATAGATAGCAACTCATGTTATAGGAGAACAACAAAGAATTTGCTGCACTTTCACGATATTACAAAAAGGACAAAATTGCTGGCTGTACATGATTGCAAAGCAAATGTTATACTGGAAAACATATTGAAAAGGAAACCAAAGAGTTCCCATCATGGGCACCATATTCCCCACTTATTCACATGATAGTCATGAAGAAGAAACAGAATTCTTCATCAGAACATAAATTGGCAGGCCTAATAATATAGAAAAGAGGCAGTCCTATGGAACAGAGATAAGGATCAAATCATTAAAGAACTCCAGCATAGGTCATAGGTTCACAAACACCACAGAAAACCTGAATCTTCAGGCCTTCATACACACCAATATAGGTACATACCCGCACATCAGCCACCGACGTTCGAACACGCTTATTTAGACCAACACTTTTTGCCCGTTCCTCCAGTCTTTGAGGCATTCCTTCATGAGGACTTCTGTGAATTTGACTCCCCATCTTCGCTAAATTGGGTCCATTTGATCTCTCTGTCACAGAAAATTCACTTCTTTGCCGCTTCTTTGAGGTTAAGACTTCCTTGTACTTATCCAATTTAATAATCGAATCCTTGAAAATTTTTGACCTATCCCTGGAAGGAAGACCAAAAATACAATCAAATCCTGCCCATACAGGAAAACTAACCAAAACACTTCAATCATCAACAATAGAGATATCTAACCAGCTTTTGACCTACCAGGAAAAAAAAAACAAAGCTTACATAAAAAAACATAACTAGACTAAAACTACAAACAACAATTGAAGGAAAGCAGTACACGTTCACAACACTGTGCAGAGGTACATCTTCTGTAAAATTATAACTGCCCTTCAGTCGAAAAGCACTGACGTGAGAATGGTAAGATCACAAATCATCATTCACATAGTTCCACAGAATCAAGACAGTAAATCCCAAAGTTACTACTCGCAAGTCCCAAGACAGCACTATCTTAAGAATAAAGAGCACCAGACATTACTCTTGAAGTACAAATTGCAGACAAGCTGCTAAATATAGTAATCAAATTAAACAGAACTAGTTCCACGCTATAGTGGTAGATCCTGAAGCAGAAAGTTCCAGAGTATTGAATAAAGTACCTGGCCTTTCTAGAAGCATCTAGCACACTTTCTTTAAAGAGCTTTAACTCCTCTGTTGCCACAGGAGGAGGCTTGGGTTGAGCAACTCCAAAAGAATGATCCTCTGAGGCACTCCCGAAACCCAAAACTCTCCTTAGTTCTCCAGAACGAGTATATTTTTGGCTACCTAATGTGATTGGTTCCAAATGTAAGCACTCCGTCAAGGGTGGCATGTCTAATGGAGATGTAGCATTGCCCCGACTTATATTGCTCCCTGAGCCGAACATGCTGCCCGCTATCTCCAACTCAGGCTAGCAAAACTGGTAGACAGCCAGGCTAGTTACCAACATAGCAGCAGCTCGCTACAAAAAGGTCCTCTTAATATTTGCTAGAGAAACATTATCTGTTGGAGACAAGTATCATACACATTTGCCAGTGCAGCAGCGCCTGTGATTATTTTTAACAAAAAGAAGAAAACAAACTTGTAAGCAACAATGCTATCCCCAATAGACATTAAGCAAGCTTAAGCTAGGTTGATATTTCCCGCCATTGTTCTTCTCTCAAGTGTGATACCTACCCATTTCCCTTATCCTCTTCCTCACGTCTTAACCTCCTCCCCACGAAGAGTAGAGCATCCAACTACTAGAGGGATGACTTCCTTCACTACTCCGGTAATAATAGTAACAGTGAAACTGCGGTTTGCTTCCCCTTTCCACTCCTGATCATTTGCTTTCTCAGAAGCTAAACAGACAGCAGAACAACATTACAAACTTCATCAGTTCAGCCCAACTGGCACCCTCTCCCTCCCTCCCTCCCTCGACTTCCAAGTTGCCACAGCCCGAAATTAGCAACGACATGTCAAATTCCCATTTCATCTCCTTTCCCCACCAAAAAAAAAACAAACGATAAAAAACCCCCCCGCGAAAACTTCGAACTCCATACTCCCCAAAACCGATCTCAACCATAACACTAAAACGAAAAGAACCCTAGAATCCTCTATTTAACGAATGCCAAGACTGACTGAGACAAGATTAGCGGAAATGGAAGTAGGCAGAAAAAACCCTAACGGAAAGGTGGGGGTGGGGGGTAGTAATTCATTACGTCTAGCTCGAGCAAAACCGGGAATTGAAGTAGAATTCGAGCTGAGACGGAACCGAAATCGAGGAGAGGGATGAGGAATTACCTCGGATTCAACGAGGTCAACCGCAGATCAAAACCCGCCACAGAAAATGTATTCTAGAGAGAGAAAGACGGGAGGAGGGAAGGGGGAAGAGGGGGGTTTTAGAGAGAGAAAGTAACGCGCACGGGGAAAAATCAAACAAAAAAAAAAATAAAAATTTGCTTCCCCAGTATTGCGAAGCGGGGGGCGGGGAGAGGGAAATGATTCGGTGTCGCGCCACCGTGTACGCCCTCCCAATTTATGTCATAAGGAGAAAGATTCTGTTCGGTTAAACGTCGTCGTTGAAAGACCATAAACTACCTTGCGATGTCGTTTAGTCTTCTTTTGGCTCTCAATTTTTTGTCTAAAGGTAGGTACCGAATCTAACTATCTAGTTTGGATATAGATTCTGTCGAGTGGCGCGTTTTCGTAAAGTACTGCTTTTGTCTCTTGTAGAGCTAGAATCTTTTGATTTTTTTGGGTGGCTTCTTTAGAATCTCTTAGGGGTCCCGAGTAGAATTGTAAGCTTAACTATTTCTTCTCGTTGATATCACTGTTCCTCCCTTCTCTTTTGGTGGACAGATTCACTGTTCCTCCCTTCCTTCTACCTTTGGTTTGCTTGATTCCTGTAGGTTGACTGTTGTGGGGGTCTGGTGTCATTTTTGGTGTTGTGGGTTGTGGTTCGCTGGTTCTCTGGAGATGGTGAAGATGAATCTTCTCTTTCCCGATTCCTGGTCATCCATGCCTCCGGCTTCCTCGGCCTCTTTCAGCTCAGAGCATCCCGGTTTCAGCCTGCTCACCGCCGAGTTTTCTCTTCCATGAGATTCACTGTGATGGGTCGTCTTTGAACGATCCCCAGGTGGCGGCTTATGGCGTTGCAATGTTCAATAGCCATGGGCTTGTCTGGTTTCGGGCGAGTTGAAACCTTGCTTGTGCTGTGCTGATTGTTGTGGAAGCAAGGGGTTCTGGGTTCACTTTGATAGCCTTCTGTTTTGGATTCTTCTGTTGGATTCAATCTTTTCCAGTTCTTTCTGGCTTTTGCTTTTGGTTTGGATTGCTCTGACTTTTGAGTTCATTGTTGTTTTGCTTTCATTGTGTTTATCCCACTCCTTGTAACTGTGATTCTCAATGCAATACAAGTGCTTCTTTTGTCAAAAAAAATATCACTCAGAAATAAATAAATAAATAAATAAATAAAGATTCTGTCGAGGGGAAATGAGGATCCAGGTGAAACCATGAGAATCATGATTGTTTAATACGTGTGTATATATTGAATATGTATAATCTTCGTATAACATGTCCAATATTCGTATTTAATGAGTTTAATTGACAATTTAAATGTCATTTACGCTTTTTTTAATAAGTGATTTAAAATATTTTATAACTATTGACGTACTATTAGAAGTACACATAGTAAAATATTCGTCTTTTCTACGCTCCTTGTTAGATTTTAATGATTTTCTCCATGATATCTAATGTATTAGTTCAAATTTTCCGTGGGATCAAAAATTGAAGGACAAAAATTGTGTTGGAATTAGATGACAAACTCTACGATGATAAAAACTTCATCAGGCCGGGAATATTACGATCTCTTTAACACTATTGTATGTGGACAAAAACAACATTACAATAACATGAACGACCTTATGTAATTGATTGTTATGGTCTGTTGAGTGCTCGTAAGCACTTTCTCTCAAATGATGTTTTTACAGGCTTTGGTGGTGGGTTACAACTTACAACTCCAGTTCTTGGCGGTGAGAGCGAACGACGCGCGTTGGCTGGCTGCTAGTTGAGAGGCAGGTGCAATGACGAAATTATTCGAGTTCGGAATAACATAAGACATTGTGCAGACGAGAAAACGATATTCCTGCAAAACTACCAACAACAATCTTGTATCCCCATTAAGCACCTTTCAATCTCATGACTTATATAAGCTTATTGCATACATCACATACTTTGCAAGCAAGGTAGGTCATCTAGACAAAACTACTAACCTCACTCACACATTGGATGTTACTACATAACAAGTTTTGCCTATCCATGACATTTATTCAAGTAGTAGTATAACTAAGATTATATAAATAATGCATAATTATAGTCTTCATTTCAGCATTCACCAACTCATGCTTGTTGTCCTCCTTATGCTCCTTAGCTTATCTGTCTTCTTGTTCTGCCGCGTTCCCTCTTTCTTCATCCTCGTAATCTTCCATATCACAAGGAAGAGAAAAGGAGAATAACAATCATCAAGCTCCAATGTGGAAGTTAAAGGTATTGATTGACAGCAATGATTAATGTTGCTATGAACAGAGTTTTCTTTTTTACCTTCTCTCTGGCTTTCTCCTCGATCTCCTGCTGCGTTTCAACAAGTTAAAAATCAAAAGAAGATTCTTCAATGTGAGTGACATGAAGTAACAAAAGACAGACATTGATGACAAACATACCACAATCTGCTTCAGCCTGCTGTTGTCTTCCTTGAGATAATTCAGCTCCAGCTCAAGCTCCATTGTATATGCCTGTTTCCTAGCCCTCGACCTTGCTGCAGATTCTCTGTTCTTGATCATCCTACGCTGCCTTCTCTCCACCAAAACCTCAGGCGGCCCGTCGATGATTCTGCTGAACTGATCACTCGACGATGCTTCCCCCACATAACCCTTGCTAGGGTTCATCATCATGTGGTACGAACCAAAGCATCCGGTCACGCTCGAGAAGTTCCCATTCAGACCATGAAAAGAAGACCCTAATGAAGATGGTGTCTCCAGTTTCAGCTGATGCAGCACTACTGTAGATGATGATGATGACGGTGAAGCAGAATTAGTACTACTTCTTGGTGGTGGCAATTTTGCAGCAGCTTCTTGAACCACACCTGCCTGTACCAAGAATTCCTCCAATGTCATGTTTCCTAAAGACTGTTGCCTCCCATGGGGGATCACATTGGTGCTGTCTGCTGGTTTCAAGTGACTGGAGAAATGGTGGTGGTGGTGCTGCTCTCTCTGGATATCTGACCACACTTCGTCCACAGTTTTCTTGCAGAGTGGGGAAGGAATGGAGATTAAGGAACTCTGTTGTTGTTGTTGTTGCTGCTGATGTGTTTGCTGCTGGCTCGATTTATCGTCGAATGGATTGTTCGTTGGGGTGTTATGATGATTGTTATCAGGGTTTGGTTGTTGCTGCAGAACTTGAGTTGTGTCTTCTGCATTGGTGTTCCATAAGTTGGAGAGGAACTCGTCCATGTTCATGGACCCAAAGGTTTTCCCGCTTTTGAGCTCAATTTCGTTTAGCGTGAGGGACCATAGAGAATTGTCGTCGACCTTGCCATCTTCTAGTTGAGCAGATGCTTCTGGGAGACCAATACTTCCCATGGCCATGGTGATTGTATCTGGTTCAGATAGAATGGTCATCTTTCACCTATAGTCAAGTCTTCACATCAATCAACTTGCAAAATATTAGACTAAAGGGAGAAGAAGATGAAGAAGAGAGGTTGAGTAAAGGCAGTACCTTCAAGCAATGGAGCTTCTAAGTAGATATGGTGAGAGAGGGAGAGATGCTTCTGTGTTTCTGTGCTTGAGGTTTATACCAGTGATCAGAAGGTGAGGAGCATTTATATAGATGGTGAGGTGGTGATCGATAAAACCAAAGTTCAGAGCAAAAGACAAACAATGAGAAAAAGGTTATATAGAAAGGGTAAGGCCAAGGCTTGGGTCCTTTAATTCCGTAGGCTCTCAACAAAAAGAGGGGAAATGCCAAAAGAGGGAGGGAAAGGGGGAAGGTACTGAAGCAGAGACTGTAACTGCCATAGGCATTCCCTTGATACAAGGGTCATTGACAGACTTTTATTATCGTGTAAATCGGTTCGGTTTTGATATGATCTTCGAAATATAATATGGTTGAATTCATCTCGTAAAGAACATGCTTTTTCGACTTGATTTCATAAATTAGTTCATTGGATTGTCAAGTTTCAAATTCAAGAAAATCTTATTCGATATTGAATTCAGATTCTCGATATCGTGTTTCATTTTCACCTTATGAGTTAAGGGTAGGATTTTTGTTTTTGTTTTGGGAGCGTTTTGTTGCTTTCTGCATGGGTAAGGGCACAGATGATGATGCCATGCTCTTTAATCTTTTGTTGCTTTGTGCCATCAGAAAGTCTTTTGGTTGTTTCTTCTCTTCTTCTTTTACATTGTTTGTTTTAGGGTTCTTGTCTTGTTGTGCTGAAATTTAGGGTCAAGTTTGGAGCTTTTCTTTTACATCATGATTCAGGGTAGGTGCATGCGTGCACTATCCACAAACACTATGTACTTTCTGTTTTAGAAAATCCTACTGAACCCGATCGGACCGAAAATACCGAATATCGGATTCAAACTGGTAGTTGGTTTTAGCGGTAGGAAACCATTGAATCACGATTAAAGCACAATTTTAGTACCAAATACCCTATCACGGACTTTTCTGGTATAATCCTAGTAAGATTTCACAACTCTTGGACTTATGTTATGTGCAGCAACATAACAGGATACAGCCAAGCCCCAAGTTCTCACCTTGCTTGCCCTGTTTGATGATGTCTTCTCACTGCCAGTAGGAGATTGTCTGCAGAACTTATAATGTTGAATGAATAGGGGACATGCTTCTGACGGATCATTCCTTCATGTCCACCTGAGCCTGTCCATGGTTCTATCTGGACCAATGCATCATTCTGAAACACCAAGAAATAGTAAATTAATCCCAGTAACTGGGATCATCATACATTGCTTTTCAATCAAATAGCAAAATTGCCAATCATTATACAGCTTGGAGAATCTCGGAAGAAGGAGAGTAAAAACAAGGGGTAAACTGACTTTTACTGTTTTGATCAAATTGGGGCACTTCAAAAAAACCCTGGCTATCCTGGCTCGTACCTGCTTGAGAAGCATCTGCAGAAGGCCAGCAGATACCCACATGTTCTTTATGGCTCTTGCCCCACTTCCCATAATTGCGAGACAAGGAACATTTATGAGTCTTGTAAATGAAAGAATTTATATTCACTTCCACCTTTCAAAATACAAATGTTTATACAATCCCCTAAAGGAGCTCAAATCTAATTGTAAGAGCAGACAAACAACACAAATCATGATGCAACTATATCAATTTGGTAAGTTTTCCTTACGGTTTGGCTATGGTTGTACATGGTTTAGAGTAAGAGGTTCTTCCCCAAGTAAAAGTGACTTCAATACAGCCTCTCCAAGCCCGCTGTAGTGCACAATTAGATGCCCACCTTCAGGAACCTCGTGGTATCGAATCCATGGTAACTTCCCCGAAATGAATCTCTGAAGTTGAAACGGGACAACCCTGTCTCCAAGACCTTGCCAGATATGAACATTGCTTGTGTTTGAAGGAAATGGGTTCTCTAGGTCAGTTGGATCGAATTCCCAGTCTCCAAAACCCACTAGGAAATCATGGCGCAGAGTGTCGAAAACTTCTCTTTCTACCAGTTTAGCCTGTTGGGTCAACAATCGATCAAAAAGCACAAGCCTTTAGTCATTACCATGTTGTAGAAACGAAACCCTTTTCAGTTTTGTGAGTAATATGACATGGGGTTTTACCTTGCTCAGCATTGGGAACCCTGGTATCTTCTTCAAGATCTCAATGTCATGAGGGTTGAAGAATACCGGGTTCCTCTCTAGTACAGAATTCGAAGGAAGCCATTGCTGAGAAACCCACCAGTGCAGTAATCCAGGAGCGTAGCTTGAAAACAAGTATGTCAACTGTACAAGCCTCCTACGGTAATCGTCTCTAATGAGACTTTGAGGAAGGGAACGCCAGTTGTAATTGACAACTGGGACAATTAGTGCTGCACCTGCTAGCCTGCACACAGACTGGTTTCTTAAGCACAACATTCAACTGCAGAAGCCTATGAAAAGGGAAACATGTCTTAAACAGGTTAACTTGCCTGTTAGGTATGTATTTGAGGCAGCTCCAAATTGGATATGATCCCATCGATACCCCAATTACATAAAACTTGGATCCGAGCTCAAGCTGGTCTGCAAGTTCTTCGATGTCCAAAGCCTCACTCTTTACTGATCTCTTCGGGTTAGGGTCACTCTCTCCATATCCGGCTCGATCAAATTGCAAGAAACAGATCCCCAACTCCTCTATCAACTCCTGGAAACTAAAGCATGGTGAGTTTCAGTTTTCACTCTTGTCAACTATTCAAATCCAAGTAAAACATTCCGTTGATTGACTGAGCTCTCTATATTGTTCATCCATCTCTATCTATGACCTACTCTGCTGATACAACAACATCCTAAACAGCTACCACCAATATTCAGGAAGAGCATAAGAAGAACTCAATATTTCACTTGTCAAAGTTGTGCTTTAGAATCTTTCTCTATATATGCATCTATTTCAAATTGTTCCTTCTACTGTTACTCAGCCAAGAATGCTTGAAATTTCATAATTAGTGGAGGATAACATTAGGAAAAAAAAGGGGAGAGGGATCAAAAGGACAGTACTTCAGGTGCCAGAAAGTTCATCTCTTTAGAGCTTCCAAAGCCATGAACAAGAATAATCTTGTATTTGGCTTTGTTTCTTGGAACCCCTTTCTCCCTATAAGCCAGGTACCTCCCATCGCTAAGCCTGATTCTCATCGAACCGTCGGCGTGCTCTTCTGCATTAGGATCACTCTGCGGCGGCGGAGTAAGCTGAGTGGCCTGATAAACCATTCCCATAAGACCAATCAACAAAACCACCGCCGTCGTCGACACCATCCCTGATAAGAAGAATTCATAAAAAAACAAATAGCCAAACAAACACAAACCCAGATCTAATTAACAAAAACCCAGTTAGAATCCAATGCTGAAACTTCTAAACAAACCAAAATAAACGCAAAAAGATTCAAAGTTTCTGTAACCCACCTGACTGATTGAACTTGGAAGTGCTTAATGTTGTCTCGGGAACCCAATGAGCCCGGCCGCGGGGGTCCCTGAATCCTTCTTCTCCGCCGTGAGATTGGGAAGACTTCGATCGAAGCTGGGAGGCGAGCCAAGGCGGCGACGGAGGCGGCGGGGGAGCACCGGGGATCTTGTGAGAAGCAGTAGCTTGATTGCTTCTTCTTCTACTTCTTCTGCTCTGTTGATTGCTAAGAAGTTTGATCTTCTGTAAATATCTCATGTGGAGGCGCTGGGGAAGTTTTGTCCGGAACGTTTAGCTGCTGCTAGCCGTCTTGTTCCTCGTGCTGAGTTCGTTGATTGCGGGTATGTTGCTGCCATGGCTTCGTTCCCCCGCTCCTTTTGAGCTCGTTGTATGAATCGGATATTCCTTTATAAACAAGGTATTTGGACAAATTTATTCCTTTCAAATTTGGAGAAAACAGAAAACCGTTTTCTTTTATTTTCTTTTCGAGTTCAGTTTAGCATAAGTTGAGCCTGGTTGTAGACTTGTAGTAACGAACGATTAGGGATTGTTACGTAATGGTCACTCAATTAGTGTTTATAACAAAACAATGATTTAAACTTTTAAAAAAAAATAATGAGCAATCGATAATTCAATTTTTTTTCTATTTTGTTACAAAATGATTACTCGGACTATCTTCGTTTATTTTGTTGTTAATGGGTGGACTTGAGCCTGCCACTAAAGATTTCTAGTAATAAACTATTGGGTATGATTTATTAGTATTTTCGCGTAGATACATCACTAGCATAATCATAGAGTCCGATGGACAAACATTCAATTACCCTAACCAATCGCTTGATATAACTGATTCATTCAATAATATCTTTTGTACTTGTTTCAAATTATAGCATAGGAGCGAAGGGGGGAGTTCAAAGGCGCGGACCTGCCCTCAACACTACATTGATGTCACGACACACTAGACTATGAGAAATACAAAAGGATGGAACGAAATCATAAACCACGCTTTATGATCTGTTTAATGTGTGTTTTCTATACAACCTCAACGAATGATGAAATTGAACTTGACACAAAATGAGAAATTGACGTGGACATTGACTTATAGTTTCGAAAACCAGATCTACATTGTGAAGTTGTTCCACATAGTTCTTTCTCCTACCGTGTAACTTAAAACCTCGATAAAAAAAATATTATTCGAATATCAAACCTCCATTAAATAAAATCAAACCCATTAATCACTCGAACTAATGGACACCTTGGAAGTTGGTGGTGAGGAATATTTGGGTTGGCAAAGAGTTTCTTGCTGGTAGTGCTTTCCTACAAAACTAAAAAAGGAACAATCCCTTTCTCTCTGGGAATATTTCGTCTCTTTTGTCTGCCTTTCTCCCCTGTTTTCTGCTGTCTGTCATCACGGCTCTCTGGCTCTCTCTTCCTATTGCAGATTATTATAAGCAGGAGGAAAGGGTTAAGAAAAGGAGACTGGTAATGCCCTTTAACGGCTAGTAATTGAACTTTTCCATTAGTTTGTCTGCACGTTTGTTGATCTGAGTTTCGTGTTTGCATTATGGTAGTACTAATATTTTTTTTTGTTCTTATGAAAATAAGAAGATATCAGTTGAGAGATGAGAGTAAAGGAAAGCCAAAATTGGGTTTGATGGGAACTAGTGAGTTGTTTTCATTAATTTTCAATTTTCATTGTTTCTCGGTATTTCGGTATATATCGATTTCAATTCCAAATACCGAATAGCACTTCAAAATAAATCACAATCCCTAAAAAATAAATCGATATTCAATAATAGCAAATAGTAATAAGTTCGGTATGATATTCGGTTACCGGTACCAAACTTCCAACCCAAATGTACGAGCACCGAATAAGGAAACCTGCTTCTGACAAATCATTCATTCATGTCCACCTGAGTCTGTTTCTGGTTCTATCTGAACCAATGCATCATTCTGAAATATCAAAGGAAGTGTAAATTAATCCTAGTAACTGGGATCATCATACATTGCTTTTCAATCAAATTTCAAATAGCAATGTTGTCGATCATTATATAGTTTGGAGAAGCTCGGGATAAGGAGAGTAAAAACAAGGGTAAACTGAGTTTCATTGTTTTGATCAAATTGGGGCACTTCAAAACCCTCGCTAGCCTGGCTTGTACCTGTTTGAGAAGCATCTGCAGATGACAAGATTAGCCATTCCGTCAAAAATTTTAGGCAAAATACACTTGTATAGCCAAAACTTTGATGGTTTGGCCAAATATAGCCACTTTTGATGAAATACCAAAAATTGCCATTTCCGTCCAATTGTTTGACGGTGTTAACCAAATGGCTGACTGGACTAACAGAAAGGCTGAGTTGGCGACAATTATTCAATTAAAATGTGAGGTAGAAAATAAATATAAATTTTTTTTCTTCCTCTCCCACCTCTCTTCCTTCCACTTTCCAGTGGAATCTCTCCCATCTCTCCTCCTTCCCCTTCTGCCTCAATCCATCCGTCCCTTCCAAATGAAAAATCTAGCACAAGTAGTTCCCCAATTAACCAAATGCCAACCCCTAATTATTGACATCAATCAACCCCTACCATCTTCTGTCGTCGATACCACCAGCCCACCATCACCATTTTGAAACTCCACACCCTTCCGGCGGTTGCTTGGATCGTCGTTGCGCCGTAGCTCCTGTCCGCTACGACCCTGCCCCCAATCTCTCTTGGTCGAGTGAATTAGAGAAAAAGGATTCAGCCGTCGCCGCCCTTCACTCTCGATCTCGCCGCCGTCGCCTCCCTTCATCTCTCGATCTCGCCGACGTCGTATTGGAATCAGTCGTCATCAGTCATAGACGGATCTGAGATGGAACACTTTGTTGTGTGAGTCTCGTCGTTTGCCTAGTTGTCGAGATCGTCAATCATGACCCTATTTCCCCAAATTCTAGGGTTGAGGCGAAACCCAGACTCCCAGAGATGCCCGACCAGTCGACTGGAGCGATTGAAGAGATGAGTTGGAGCGACGACCGGATGGGTGGTGCGGGGGAATCGGGGAAGAAGTTTGGTGCTTTGATCAAGAAGATTCACAAAAGGCGGGTTCCCCCCGTAGTAGAGAGAATGTGGGCCTCGCTGAGCTGAGCATAGCTAGAGATGATACCCAACGGCTAAAAGAAGAATTGGGAAGAAGTGCGGGGGAATCGACGATGGTTGGTTTGTGAAAAGGAAGAAGGCAACAGACGAAGAAGGCAGGGAGGAAAGGGAAAGATAATTATTTTTTCTAAATGAAAAATAAATATAAAATATATTAGAAGGAAATTGTGACATGGCATCTGCGTGGCAATTAAGGCTGAGTTGTTGCAGACGTGGCAATGATTTGGCATTCTCGTCAGCATACCGTTAACCTAACAAACGGAATATTGTAACATCGCTAAAGTTTTGGACGAAAATGGCTATTATTGTCATCAAACTTTCAAAATTCTGGCTATTATGGGTATTTTCCCCAAAAAGTGGCTATTATTGTCACAAAAATCAAAGTTTTGGCTACACAGATGAATTTTGCCAAAATTTTAACACCTTTAACAAAACGCTGATGTGGATGCCACCTCAATTGCCACATCAGCTCGAACACACCAAGTCATGCCACATACCAGCCACATCATATTTTCAATTAAAATAAAAATAAATTAATAACACAAAATAATAAATCATCTCCTACAACTTTACTCTTTTTTTTCTTCTTCTTACTTTCGTCTCCGGCTTTCCTTCCTCTTTATTCTTTCTTCCTTCTTCTTTCTCTTCCCTTAATCGATAGCCAGATTCCTCAATTCTCCATTGAATTCGTCGAGAATAGAATTAGAAAAAGTCCAAGTGGGCTTCTCCGGCTGCGGGGGAAGATTTGGTTGCCTTGCTACACCGCCGCCGCCGCACACTCAATCGCCCATCGGAAAACCCAATGCCCCATCTCAACCCGATCCCCGAATCCTCCCAACTGTAAAACCCAAACCCCTAATCCCCCATTGCCAAATACGACGTCGACAGAGGCGGCGGGTTATGTTCTGTCCATGCTTTTGACGATGATTCCAGATCTGTCGACTCTAGCTCCAGGTTTGGAGAAATGGGTAGATCGAAGCTTCTTCTTCCATGTCCCTTTTGGCCATCATCGACGAACGTTTCGCCGGAATCACCGATTGAGAGACAGAGACAGGAGGTAAAAGAAGGGGTTTTCTAGAACTAGTGATTGTGGAAGTTTGGGGACTTGCTTCATCGGAGCCACAACGACAGTAATATTAAGACCCAAGACACAACCCAGAACCCTTCTTTTCTCTTTCACTCAACCAAGAAGACCCCCAAACCCAGATCTCCATATTCATTAGTGGAGATTGCACAGAGAGTAACTCCAAATCCGTCGGTGTATATCGATTTTCGTGCAACAACTCGAGGCTCAATGGGGGTAATTGTTGGAGGTGCAGACAACATTGATAAGGGTTCAAGGTCCACGAGGTGACCAGCCGTGACGTTGCCGTGTAGTATGTGTTTCGACGACGAAAGATTTTGTGGAGAGTTGGAGGAAGATGAAAGGGTGAGGTGGGCCGATGAGGAGATGATTTTTCCCTTTTTTAATTTTTATTTAACTTATGAAAATAAAAATTAAAAATCCAGATATGCAAGTTTGTGGAAAATACTGGGGTGATGCCTATTTTTTATCCAATTTTTTTTCAGATTATTATATATTATCCAAATCTATTAAAATGCTATTAATTAGCCAAATCTTTCGTAATGCATCCAAATATTAGTCATTTTTACGTTATCGTTAATAATTTTATAACTCTTTTCTTAGTTGAAATACTAAAATTTTGGAATGTTGATTTTCATGTATCTCTTCCAAGTTGGTATCATGTTGCCAAGTCAATATTACTAACAAAATTGCTAACAATTGGCTAATTTTTAGTATTTCGTCTACTCAGCATTTGTAACTTTTCCGTTAAAATATTAGTCGATAACCTATTTTCGTGTATTTTTTAAAAAGTGGCTATTATTATCAAAATCGCGAAAAATTATGGAAGCAGGAAGCAACTCAATTACACGAGCTAGAAAATACAAAAAGCTCCTTCCTTCCTTCCTTCCTCTCACGTTACGTTACCAGAGTACCAGATGATGTCGTCTCCGTTCAACGTCGAAGCTGCCGGGATTTAGATGAACGGTCGGCAAGAGAATCAAAAAGTTGAGTTGGGTTTTGGAAAATTTGCCAGAGAAGCACCTCGTCGCTGGTTCAGTCTTCCCCCGCTTGCCGCGTCGATAAATCCCCTGTGACTGCTGCCTGGAATTCTGGTCCGTTCGCTAGTCGTACTCGAGCTCGATTCAAACATTGAATCACCTTTTATCATAGCTTTGCCCAGTTCCTCTTTTCTGGTTTTGTGTTTAATTCGCAACTGAAATCTGATTGAATTGTCTCGGTGTCTAGAAATCTCGGCGGTGGTTGAATTGGCGAAGAGGGAGCTATGAACAAAAGGTCCAGTTGCTGTGCGATTTGTGAGCACTCAAATCGGGCTTCCATTTGTGCAGTTTGTGTCAATTACAGGTGAAAAATTCTCACAAACCTAAGCCTTTTGACAGTTAATGAGTGAGTTCGAGATATGTGAAGTTCTGTAGCATCCCATTATTGATTTCCTCTCTTTGGTGGGGGATTTGTAGGTTAAATGAATTTAGTAACTTGTTGAAATCGTTGAAGAGCCGGCGGGATTTGTTGTACTCGAGACTAAGTGAAGTCCTTGTGGCAAAGGTTTGATATTGTTGGTTCATTGTGTGCTTCTGTTCATCTTGTTCTCAAGAGTCATGAGTATGCTGTAACTGGTAAAAGTTAGTGTGACAATGGCTCTGAAGCAAATTTTGCTTGCTTCAACTGTTCAGGGGAAGGCAGATGATCAGTCAAATTGGAGAGTGCAGCACAAGGAGAAGGTCGTAAGTTTGAAGGAGAAGCTGTGTCGTAGTAGAGAACGGCTAATTCAAGGTTCGAACTTCTTGTATGTGGCAGAGGGAAGTAGAACTTAGGTTACCAGCTGCTGAAGTATATTTGTCTCATAACTTATCGGGCAATTCATGACATTTGCAGGGAAGGCTAAGGTTGAGAGGATGTCGGGTGAGCTAAAAGTCAAATACAATGTCTTAGATTCAGCTCGTAGTGTGGTAATAATTGTTTGCACCTTCTATTTCAGTTTTGGTTGTTGTTGGCTTATGTTCTTAATCATGTCTGTGAGCTTATGCGTGGTTCATTACTGTGCAGTTAGAAAAGAACCGTTTGGAACAACTTGACAAGTTCTATCCAAACCTCATATGCACTCAGAGTTTAGGCCATGTGAGATTTACAAGCTGATTCTTATGGGTATTTGCATCTTTCTGTTTCGAAAAATATTGCTTTATTCATTGTGTGGAATTCTGTGACCTCCAGATGGCTATTACCACGGAACTACTTCATAAACAATCTGTTGTCATAAAACAGATATGCAAGTTGCTACCTCAACGGAAGGTAAGAACTGCTCAATCATAGGGCTTCTATATATTTGCATGCAAGTCCAGCATCTCACCAGAAAAAAATGGAAATTACGAAGTGAATATACAGGTTTACATTACGAAGCATATTGGAAATTATAATATATCGTTGTGGTCTATTGCAAATAAAATCAGTTTCAATCTTTCCCAACTTATTAAACATGGTCCAGAGAGGATAATGTCGTGCAGGCCCTACTGATATATTAGGATTGTAATACTATATATTTCGGGTTTACTAGTCTTAATCATGGTTGGAGTATGAGCGAACTTGTGGTCCTTATTTGGATTCATGAAAGGTAGAAATACTGTAACTTGGCTGCGATTCTGGTTCAGTGAAGTGTACCTGAATATAGATTGTAGTAAGCAAATCCATTTGTGTACCACATCGTTGAAGTTCCTTGGCAGTAGTATGCACGTGGAATATGGAAATTATGTTCATATAGACAATAACAAACATTGGCTGTATTCCTCCTGGCCGTATAATCCACCACCCCAAGACAGCCTTTTCGTGCATCGTATTTTTTGTTTCCAAAGGTTCTCTGTCTTTTGGTCATGTGGAGAAGTGGTGGATGCTGTTTGGCTATCTCTCAACTTTGATTTAAGGTCTTAGCTTTCCAATAGCGATTACATTGTGTACCCCAATGTTGATCAGGTGAAAATCGAAGGGGAGAGAACTAGTGGCCAATTTGATCAAATCTGCAATGCACGCTTACCAAGAGGACTTGACCCCCACTCTGTACCGTCAGAGGAGCTTGGTGCCTCACTGGGGTAATTTTCGCACATTCATCATGCAAATAAATGTTGCCCTAGTAGTGGATAAAAAAACGTTATCCCCGTAGAACTTGAGAAATCTAATCCGTGCGAATAAATTCCTTCTTAAAGTAGTCATCATGATGTCTGGGTTACAGGTACATGGTGCAGCTTCTAAATCTTGTTGTTCGTAACCTGGCTGCCCCTGCTCTTCATAATGCTGGTTTTGCGGTATGTTCAGCTGTGCCTCCATTTAAAAATGTTCCTGCTAATCACAGTTCTGTTAAATCCATCGATTATGAACTTAGCCATCTTTCTCAACAAACACAAGTTATCTTTTAAAATGATTTGCGAAGCTATGTTCTGTGATTCCCCCTCCCTACTTTTTTTCTGTGTTATAAATCTTCAGTGAGATAGCCTGGGATCTTATCTCTGTTTTAGATGTGACGTCTGACTCAATGTCTCTAGTTGCTTGTAACAAGGACATTTGTAATTCTGTGAGTGGTTTGCAAGTTTACCACTTATGAGGTCTGGTTCCTTTTACAGCGTCTTCCCGTAATTTGATAGTTCCAAGTGAAGAGCTTTCAAAACCTTCTATTTTCTTCATATACAAAATCTATTTATATCTGTGTTTACTGTTTCTATCTATGCTTGGAAGTGAGTTAAATGATAGTGGAATACTACTCTGGTCAATTTCCTTGTATCTGGATCTCAATTTCATACCTCTATTTTCTCAGGGCTCTTGCTCTCGAATATGGCAACGTGATTCTTACTGGAATGCCCGGCCCTCATCAAGAAGGTATATATGTTGGGAGAATTGTTTGTTTGAACACAACGGGTGATTTAGGAGTATCAACCTTTTTGGACTGAATCTTTCCCTTCCCCATGCAGCAATGAGTATCCTCTTTTTATACCCCGCCAGAATTATTGCTCTGGCAGTGGTGAAAATTCAGTTACTGATTCTGATAGAAGCTCCAGTAACTTTGGTGTTGCCTCAATAGAGTCAGAAAGAAAGGCATATCTTGATTCTTCCCGGAGTAGTAGCTTCAATTACTCATCGGCCTCTGCCCATTCAGTAGAAACACACGAGGACTTGCAGAAAGGCATTGCACTTCTGAAGAAAAGTGTGGCTTGTGTGACAGCTTATTGTTATAACTTGCTGTGCTTAGAAATTCCTTCTGAAACATCTACCTTTGAAGCCTTTGCAAGACTATTGTCAACGCTTTCTTCTTCAAAAGAAGTCCGGTCTGTTTTCTCCATGCAAATGGCTTGTTCAAGGTAAGTCTTTGTGAAGTATTAATCAATCCCTGGAAGATGTTTTCTTAAAACTCTTATTTTTCAGATTTGTGCTCATCTTAGATGCCATCATTAATTTGCTGAAATATTTAAATTTTTTAATCTTTGCATTAGTCATGCTGTTTTCTTTTAGTTGTCATTTTAGAGCTTGAACTTACTGTAGCATTACTGTGAGTTCAACATTCAAAATTTGGTTGTTTGTTTCGTGTCTCGAAGGAGAAGTTGCCCTTTGGGAAGTATTAGGAGAACTAAGTCAATGGGAATTTTTCGATTCAGACTATTTACTTTCGGTATTAAAGAGAAGGATGTAGTAATAGAGGAGCAGTGTGTTTAATATCGGCTCTGGGAAAGGAAAGTTGTGTAAAAACTCATGTTAATACCGAAAGAATGAGTTTTTCTGAAATAGATAATTTGCCGCATCGATAGTTAGCAGAGGCTTTTCTTTAAAAATGTGTCTGTTCGCTTGGGTAGAAGTCAAGCTGTGAAAAGGCTGAACAAACGTATCGGCTATATTTAGTTTAAGTTGTCATGGTATGAGGATAAAAGACTAATCATTCAGACGCCCTTGCTTGTTCAAAGTTCAAACACCTATAACTCTGTCCTCAAGTTAGTCTTCCTTTCGAGTTTCAGGTCTGGTAAACAAGCTCAAAAGTTAAATAAATCTGTCTGGAATGTAAACTCAGCCTTTTCATCCAGCGCTTTACTGGATAGTCAACATGCACTGCATCTAACGGTATAGTCTCATAACTTTTTCCTGCTGATTTCTCGCATTATAATGTCATCTTCCAGATGTTACTTAGACATTCCATGTCAGCTGTTCAAAATGCATTACTGCTCTCATTTCCAGAAAGCAATGGTCTTTTTAATCGATGCACCTCTTCCTGCTTGCTTATTTCTTTTGCAGAAGAACATGAGTGAATATAACCTCCTAAACTCGACCACCAGTTTCCTGTACGGCCCTACCGATATGTCAGAGTTGGGGAAATACGAAGGGCTCATTGATGGATGGGATCTGGTGGAACACCCTAAATTTCCTCCTCCGCCTTCGCATACCGAAGACATCGAGCATTGGACTCGCGCCATGTTCATCGATGCTACAAAGAAGAAATAAAACCTTTTGCAGTGATGCAGACCTTAGCAAGCAGGCTACTTCTGTACATATTGCAGTTCTCTGCTCTGTTGTTTGGCTGTACAATGTACATATATAGACCTAGAGAGCTAGTCTCTGTCGCCTTTGATTCTTAACTTGTTCTAGCATCACATCAGCCTCTCTCGTGTAAATTTGAATGCATGATATAAGATAAAGGGTAATCTGCTCAACTGAACTGCTGAGCTTACTCTTATATCTACATCTGAAACTGCCATTAACATGTGAAGTCAGCAGAATTCACATGGTCCACACCACATAAAAGCTAGGTGGGGGTGCAAAGTGATCAATGTGAGTGGTTTTTATTTGCAAAGGTAAAAATCTCTTGGATTTTACTTTCATGCATCACTTAATATGTCCAATACAAAGTTGGAGGTGGTCTGGACAGGTGATTCTCTTGAAAGTAACCTTAGCATGGGATGATTGAAGAATGCAGATTCCTCTGAGATTCTCTTCTAACTGTAGATATGTGTATACTTCATTGCTTCATGTTATGGTTTACAAACGAATTCGTCGATCTTTCTTGGGTGGAACGGAGAGTACTTCAATTGCGGAAAAAAGAGAAATGGGAAACATAGATGTAAGTGTACTTCATTGCTTCATGTTCGAGTTCTTAGGCGATTTCGTCGAGAAAAGGGGAAACTCAATGAGACCCAAAAACATCTCTAAACCAGTGTTCCATGCCAAAATGTCAATCCAAACGGAATCGTCCTCTCTCAAGATTTTGCAAAGATATCTGTGCAACAAGGACATGAACTGATGAACTCCATTGACAGGACCCAGAAGAACCATGTTTGTCAACTAATCTCTGCCAACAGTTTTGGCAAACATAGGAGCTAGGCAGTTTATGGGTTGATATTCTGCACGTGCTTGCTTGTACTTGCATGATTCGAACGTAAATGCAAAGGCAAAGGAGGGTCAGGAATACTTTGTGGTTGATATGGCTCGAGGTAAAGGGGAAGAAAGTCTTGGATAAAAAAGAAGGGCTAGGAAAGAAAGTGAAGGGTCCTAAACTCCAACCTTGGAAAACTGCCCTAAAGAGTTGAGGAGCATCCAAGTGTCGGGAGGGTAAGAGAGGACCAAAAGTTATCTTATGTATCGATCTGCTGCTGCCTTTGCCAAGGTCGTCAAAGATTCCTTCAACAGATGATGGCTTTGATTTTGATTGACATTCCATATGAAGAAAGACTCAGGAGACCCTTCCTTCCTAGCTACTTATGGACTATGGAGTAGGGTTATACACCAATAATAGTATCTACGGTATCGTTTGCTTGTGGGATTTGGATGATGGGTTTGGCACTAAAATCTCAACAAGCATTATGAAATTGACACAAATCCGTTTGTTTGTTGAGGGACACAAATCCGTGGAACTCACGAATTAGGACACCTTTTTTATATCCAAATTCGTGGGCCCTATGGATTTGCCAATCCCACATTTCATTTGGGGTGTGATAATGGAAAGCAAAAATGTGAGACAATTCCATGATAAAAGAATCAACTAACAAACAATGTACTCTTCTAATAAATCCATAGTGCAACAGATCTATCATAAATCCAAAGGTTCTTAAAACTTAGAAGTCTCGTTTTCAAATCAAACAAGCAAACGAGCCCACGTGAGTATTTATTTTGTTGGAGTTGGGTAGTATAGGCTCTCATTTGATATAACTTGGCCCTTTCATGGCGGATATTGGTGCACAATCTATCTTTTTCTGTATTTTTAGAGAAAAAGAGTTGCATAGGATCTATTTGAGGCCAATACTGGTTAAACTACATGTAAACTTTGTAATAAACTTGAAAAGAATGGAGACAATAACAATCTTATTATGTAGACTACTCAATGGAGATGACTAATAAAGAAATGCATGATTATAAATTTACAATTAAGTAAATCTATAAGTTTATAAGTAAATCAAGGAAACATTACTAATACTTATGAAGTTATATGGTGGAGAATTAGGCATATTCTCAGCCCCCATAAAATTATACTCTAGGCTCTACTAACTCTAGATCATATAATTATTAGTTAATCATATCTGATCTACACCTCATGATTGATTTGATTGTGCAAAAAATGCTCTCTAAAAGCTCATTCCCACAATGACCCATTTTCTCATTATTGCAATGATAATGTTGCTAATTACTTAATTAAGATCATGCAATTGAATATGATAAAAAAAAAAAGATCATGCAATTGAAGAAAAAGCAAAGACAAAACTAGTAAAAGCCTCTTCCTCTATCTGTGATTGTAGTGTATTGCCAGCACTTGTTGCATTTGTTTAGGCAGAAAGTGAACAATCAAAGAAAAGTTAATTCACAAAAAAAAAAAAAAAAAGAAGTTAAGTGATCAAATAATTAGCATAAGCATCTACGTGACGAATTGAAGCACTACCAATTTTTTTTTTTTATTAAGTGGAGGCTAAACAAAACAGCCCAGAGAGTTACAAGGGATCAGCCGAACAGAGATCCAGAAGCAGGCATCAAAAACAGGGACAAAACAGATCTAACTATTTTCCACAACCTGCCACGGGAAGCTGACTCCCCGAACATCATCCTGCAGCATCGAAAGAAGCCTGGTTGGGGGTTCATCTAGTTCATGCGTACCGAAGGGATAGACAAGACTGTGCTTCGAGAGCCAGTCCGCGACTCTATTCCCTTCCCTGTACGTGTGAACAAGTTAAACCACCCAACTTTGCGCTATCATGCGGCGAATGGCTCCAAGAATCGTCGAGTAGGGATGTACTGGGTCTGCACATTGTTCAATCAAATTCAAAGCTGACTGAGAGTCAGATTCAAGGATGAGAAACTGAGCTCCCTTTTGCCAAGCCAGCTGAAGACCTTGTAAAATGCCCCACAATTCGGCAAGGAGAGCCGAGCCAGTGCCAAGCTTGCTACAAAAACCGCTAATCCAGTCACCCCAACAGTTCCGCAAGACACCTCCTGCAGTGGCCATACCTGGATTACTTTGAGCAGCCCCGTCAGTATTGAGCTTCCACCATCCAGTTGCTGGAGCTACCCAACCTATCAGGGTCTCAGTTCTTGCAGGCTTGGCGTTAAGATCAAGTCTTGCGCTAGCTGCGTCCCAGGTTTTCACCCATTCATTCGCTTTGGCTGTGACATAATTGAGCCTCGTCGAGTGGGAGAGCTTGATGCCGTTGAAGACTCTATCATTCCGGCATTTCCAAATGTACCATAAAACCAGGCTGAAATAAGATGCCCAATTTTCGCTGCCGTTACCCTGCGAATCATTAGCAACATTAGACATCATCCATGTCTCATAATTGCAATTGAAAAACTCTGAATGGCTTTCACTTGGCACCACTTTGCTCCACACTCTTTTTGCTATATCACAGTCCTACCAATTAATTAATACCTTTGGAAAACCTTATTAATTAGTACAATTAGTGGATGCCCTATTTAATTAAAAAAAATGAATTATATACCAAATAAGGCAATTGCAGATAGATCCATGCATGGTGTTACATAATACATAGATGCCCGAAATAGAAAGGTCTGGCTATATTTGTTTCTCTTTTCGTTCAAAAAATAATGATAATTTGTCCTTTAATCATCCTTTATTGTTTGTGTAGTTTCCCATAATACAAAAGGTAGAGAGATTAATTAGTTCCTTTACCTCGAGGCTGTCTTAGAAGGATCCATTTCTGTGCAAATAAAATTCTTTCTGTCTCCGCTTTACCTTTAAAAATTACAGCAAATCAAACCAACTAAATCATAATTAGAAATTAGGAACTGATCTAAGTTATGTCTCAATATCTATGGTTATCTATACTTGGCCTAATTCAAAATTACTATGTTATGCTTAAGTCTATGATTATTTTTTTTATCTTGTCGTGACTCATTCGACTAAGTAGCTATGTAACATTTTTTTATGCTCATTAGTGATGTCCTCACGTAGAACTATACGTGGTATGGTGGTTCAGAATTATAACATCATCGTATCAAGGTGGTACAAAACTTATATCATGTTAGTATAGTTTTATAACAGTGTTTGTACCTGCTGAATGTGAAATGCGATCGTACTCCTATCCGTCGAATGACAAAAAAAAAAGATATTACTTTCGAGTATACCAAATAATATCATTGTATAGTTCATAAAAATAAGTTTTTTTTGTAAAATGATATTTAAGTGCTAAATTTGAAAATTAGCTAAAATTAATTTTGAAATAGAGAGGGATGGTTTTTCTTTTTAAAAAAGAGAATAAGAACATGCTGGCTTGTGGTGACACCTAATAGTTTTCTACGGCCTATGAGTTCTTCCCCCACAACATTTACGATTAAGAAATAGCCACACAACATGCTTTAATAAAATGGAACACAGAAAAAGGAGAGACGAAAAAACTACAGAAACACAAACCCAATGGTATCTGCTGATGATCACTCAAATAAAAGTTTACAAGAAGTCAGAAGGAACATTTCTAAGTAGAAGCTTGGTGGGTCTCCTTTCAAGGAATCAAAGGCGGAACAAACCCGTTTGCGAATAGTTTGGTATTCGACTATTCGTATTGATAAAGACATATCCGACACTCGATTTGTTGTTTAACGAGTCAGTTATGATAAGTCAAGTCATGATTAGCAAACGAGTCACACGTTTGAATTTAATCCCGCTAATCTTGGCATGCTCTTGCGAGCTAGCTTGACTCGATAGGCAAGTCATTATTATCCTGCACGTGATAATGACCTTGTCGATATATGGAGAGAAAAAAAGAGACGTACTGCCTAGGGAGAGATACAGAAGAAACGATGCACATTGCTAGTGAACGCATGGTATAAGATCCATACTAGATTCTCTCCCAACAAGTCGAGTTTATTGAGACTCATTGATTGTTGACATGTGGTATCAGAGTCTTCAGAAGACTGAGAAATCTTGTGTCCGAATTCCGACGACTCGCCATTTTGTTAAGCCCATGTGGTAGTCTGATGACATGTAGTGCAAACTTCTCGAATATCCATATGATGAGTTGGCTTTTTCGTTTGAAAAGGCATGTTAGTAAATTATATAATATCCATACTTAACCTCTTTTAACGACTCGAGTTATTGAGATTAATTAGTTATTGAGATACTTAAACTAAAGTTCCATGTCCAACTTCACTTACTATAAATGTCGGGTTTGGGGCACTTCCCACTCCTCAATTCCCAACCAACAAAAACTAAACCAACTAAAGGAGCCAACCAATAAGGGAAATAGTGAAGTACTACTGTACTTCTTCCCCTCTTAGTTCCTCTCCATCCTTCAATTTCTCTCTCTCTCTCTCTCTCTCTAGAATGGGGAAAGTGGTGTCAGATCCTCTGGAGATTGGGAGAGTGATAGGAGATGTAGTAGATAGCTTCAACCCTAGTGTGAAGATGAAGGTCACTTACAACTCCACAAAGCAGGTCTTCAATGGCCATGAGCTCTTCCCTTCTGCTGTTACTCTCAAGCCAAAAGTTGAAGTCCTTGGTGGTGATCTCAGGTCATTCTTCACTCTGGTAAATCCATTAATCCCTCTCTTCTTTTCTTTACCTTCTTAGAAACTAAACTAATCAAGGAATTATATATGTCCAACCTGTGCAAACGGTAAACTTTCGTTTTAGGGACACATATATACCAACAGATGTTTCGCGACTAAGTGATTTGTTCGTTAACACATTGTGGTTAAAATTTGTAGGTGATGACGGACCCAGATGTCCCTGGGCCGAGTGATCCTTACCTGAGAGAGCACTTGCACTGGTAATTTGTTTTACAGTGCATTCCATTCATTTTTTGTATGATACTTGGCTTTTTTCCCCTTGTTTTGGCAAAGCTGTTTCCTTCCATGAACACATACAAAAGTGGGAAAGAGCTGAGAAAAAAAGGTTTAAAATATACTGTTACTCTTGCTTTCATTGTTTTAAGCAACATGCTAGCTGCTACTTGCGAGAAATGGAAGGGTGAAGTACTGAGAATATAATCACCAAAACTAGCAAGACAAAGAAAAAGGGTAGTGCTAAGGGAATAGTGTACTTTGCAGAGGGAAAAGTGCAGTACTTTACTATATATATTCTACTGAATTGAAGGGTGGTGATTGGTGATAGGTGAACCATTGAAAAGATCATATGCATATACAATGTAGTCAAAAATCGCGTTTTAAAACTAAAAATTTTACGATTTTACATTTCCAGGTCACTAAAACGCTTCTACACAAAATCTTAGTTTTTTATAACTTACGTAGTTAAAAACTTCGCTTAAAAACTTACGATTTTACGCTTCTAGATCACCAAAACTTTTCCACGTAGAAACTCGCTTTCGACTACATTGCTGCATATACCTGGATGGAGTGAGTCATTGCTTTTAGTGGCTACAAATGGCTCATACGATAACTTCTCCCTCTCTTTTACTTAACATGCACATGTATGTATTTTAGTTTTCTTTTAACTGAGAGAGATATATATATACAGTTCAGTCTAATGATTTGTTTACCTCAATTAATTAATTAATTAATTAATGTTCCACAAAATTGCTTTGCTTACAGGGTTGTGACTGATATCCCAGGCACCACTGATGCAACATTTGGTAAGTATTGTATAAATCGAAAAAGGAATGAGATACAAAAACTCATGCAAATCTTTTGCTAACAATTAATTTGAATTATTGCAACCGAACGATTTGTTTGTTTCGTTAACTTGGTATCAGAGCCTTCCACGCGAGAGGTTACAGGTTTAATTATTACCCTAATGAATTATATGATCGATATGCGCAGGGAGGGAAGTGGTGAGCTACGAGATGCCACGGCCGAACATAGGGATCCACAGGTACGTGTTCCTGCTGTTCAAGCAGAAGTCCAGGGGCCAAACGACGTCGTCTTCGTGCTCGAGGGACAACTTCAACAGCAGGAGGTTTGCTCGAGACAACCAGCTTGGCCTCCCCGTCGCCGCCGTCTTCTTCAACGCTCAGCGCGAGACCGCCGCCCGCCGCCGCTAGCCATCTTTTTTCTCGTCGTCATTACATTATATCCAGAAGAAGAATATATATACTATAAACATAAATATGAGCGAGTATGATGATATTATGGTTTCAGTACTGTCTAATTTTCCAAGCTGCTCTATCTGTTAATTAAGTGTTTTTAAGTTTTAATTACATATGGTAGCTAAGCTAGTCATGAATAAACGAATATATGTATAAACCAGACTGAAAGTTTTGCCGTCTTAACAAGGTTGCATGCATGCTTTCTTGAGATAATCATTTCACAAAATAGTGAGCCCAAGAGCTCGTGAGACGCGGCCCGTGGGCCATCCAATATCCTCCCCATATTTGTTTGGGCCCGATCTGTTGTTCAGGTGCAGTCGAATAAGTTGCCAACGGCTGGATAACGAAACAAATTCTAGGCAGCAGATGAAATCAGCTGATTCGGTTGGTTACACAATCTCAAAGTCTCAACACTAAAAAATACATACTTTCAGTTTTACAGTACCAAACAGCTTAAGCCTGATCAACCAATAACCCACTGTCCCTTGATATTCAGAATTGTGGGAGGCCAAAAGTGTCTGCCACCAAACCACAGAGCCCTCTGGAAGTGTCCATACAACTGGGAATTGATCAATCCATCCTTCCCTTCAACGTGCATTCTTTTACTTCAGTTGGAGTGCTGCAAACCCAGAAGAACCAAAGTATTCACATAACTCAATGAGTTGGCCACAGACAGTAATAGAGCATGTTATCAACCATCAAAACGAGTGACCAAAAGACAAGGAAATGAATCCTGGTAAAGATTAGATGGGATATTATAAAATTTTGGATCAGGACTTACACAATATAGATGTGTCCACCCCATCCACTAAGACAATCACGATCTACCGAAGCCAAAAGTGCTTGAGACAGAGTCTCAAATAGCTCCTCGGGTTCCTGAAGAATGAAACAAGGAATTCAACCGCGGGCCATATATGACCGTGAAATGCACACTTATTCATCTGATAAGAATAAGCACCATACATGAAAATTGAAAAACATACATCTTCGGATAGCAAAGTCATGTTCTCGACTTGATTTGTAAGTAAAACCTAGTCCAGAGCTTTATTAGCTCAATCTTTCCATTAGGCTCTTTTAATGAATCAAACCTTGCATGAGGTATTTACCAGAACTCGAATCTCTAGATTTTTCTACAGCCATGACCACTGGACCAGCCCATGAGGTTAATTTAGTTGCCCATGAGGTTCATTTAGTAGTAAATGTTACTAGTATACAATCAGATAGCTCTCCACTCTTCATGTACCAGACAGCTATTTAGTTCTACATTTCAGCTCTCAAGTACTGCACTCTTGTACTAACTTGAAATATACAATCTCTGAGCGAAAAGATACATTACTTGATTCTGTTGAATGGATTATCTAAGAAGAGTCCATTCCAACTCCAGTATTTGCAATATCAGTATTCAATTAGTTAACCTCTAACTGCTGAAAACAAACTTCAGAAACTTACCATGTCAGGCTTGAACATTGCCTCACATGCACCATAAAGTGAGTCGCCAGCTGTTCCTGCAACAACAAAATCTTTTGCCAGTTCCCTGCAATTTCAAGAAAAAGAGAAGCACAAAAGAAAGAGCATATCAGAGCTCCAACAAGAACATATAAGCTGAAACTGACACAAGCATTATTCTACTCCACATATAAGCACTTCACGTTATTCAAAACCCTCTGATGCTTAAGTCAGAAAAAGTCTGATTAACCATGTCCAGTAACAGATGACCATGATTCTGTAACCACGACATAATTGCAAATGGCAACACTAGAAGTGACTAGTTGACTGAAAGAACTTGAAAACAGTAAGCAGCAGTGGTGGTCACAGTTTTCGAACTTTAACTAGATTTGCTCGAAATATTTCAAGACTAACTTAGACGAACTAGCAACATGCGCATGCACATAAAAGGATCGTCAAATGGCAAAGACAGTATTCTGTAAGAACATGACACACACAGCTTTGATTTCAGAATCACATATTGTGGACTTAACATCTAAAATGGATGGAAGAGAAAGTGACATACTTGGCACCAATAGAATCCGTCGTGCAAATGAATGGCTTGTCATCATCACTCAATCCAGCAATAACAGGTTGGCAGAAATATGGACCAAACCTGAGAACAGACGTTTACACGTACTTTCATAAGCAAAAGTATGGCTTTACTAAGTGAACTAGAAAACATCTTGTAGACAACACTGGAACAATAAGCTGAGCAGATACTGCGAATGGCCATAAGTTAGTGATGTACTCGTTATTAGCATTTCTTGGGGTTTAGTTGTGCAAGTGAAACTTTTCATGTTCAGAGGTCTTAGGTTCATTTAGTGCGGAGTTTCCCACTCAAAGGCAAGGATTTTACAGTCCTCTTAACTTGGTTGGATTCTCAATCGAAGTCCTTTGCATACATACATTAGAGAGGCAACCCTTACAAAGCCCTATACATATCCACTGTTTTCTTGAATTTCAAGTAGCTAGCTCTAGGTTCGCACCCTTTTTCACCCAAACCAAAACCACTACTTTTCAAGCTACATAACCTAAGCATAAAACCATTCTAATCCATCACAAGACCAAATTCCGCACCTTTTCTCATAGAGCAGAGCGGAGACAAGGCTGGCGAAAGTCTCAGGCTTCATGTCCCTCTCTTCTCTCAGCTGGTACAGCTTATGTCGAAACATAAGCCTCTGATACCTGCAAACAATCACCAACTACCTTCAGCTCCCTTTAACCCTCTCCATTTAACATTTTCAAACAAACCCAAAAACGAAGGAGCGCCGAGAGATGGATTTACAAAGTCTGGGCATCGGTGGCCAGGCCAGAGAGGCCGATGAAGAGACGGTCGTGGATTTTGTGGATCCGCTGGAAATCGGTGGCGATGGTCTGGAGCTGAACACCCAATCGTCGATCGCTAGCTATGGCGAAGCAGTTCTTGCCCACCATGGCAACGAGGGCACTGCCATTATACTCGAAAATCTGCCCCAAATTGAAACAAAAATGAAAAAAAAAAAAAAATCAGTCTCTCGATTCCCCGTCTCTGTACGAGATTTACGAATTAGGGTTGGGATTCTTACCGACATTGGTTGAGAAGCTAGGCGTATTCACCGTCGCCGGAGAACGAGATCGACAGGTAGCAGAGAAGGCTTTTGAATTGGAAGGGATGGAATTTTGGGTGCTAATGAATCAAGTTAATCGTCACTCTCCTTATACAATCTGGTGTTTGCCTGTGCCTGTCTTGTTCGTCACTCCAAGCTTAAGCTTCTCTTCTCTAAATTGCTTCATCGGCGGTATTCGGGGCGGGGAAGGAGAAAGCCGGACTTCCTTACTGTGGGCCGGTCTAGTGTTTGGGCCTAGAACAGACCTGTAAACTTTCGTATTGGGCTAGTTCTGTTAAAATGGTTAACCGGCCCTTAAGGATGTAAAATTGTAAATGAGTCGAGTTGATTTTGAGTTTGGCCTGATTTTAGTTCATCTCGTTACAAATTAGTCGAACTTGAGGCCGACTCATTTTTTGAAATTTTGGTTTGTGTTTGATGCGAATTTGACTCACTAATGAGCTCACAAGCTTTATTGAAACTCGACTCATCAATTAGCTCACAAGCTCAATTGATCTTATTTTATCCAGGGTCATTGATATGTTCGATTTTGATGGTAGTTAGTAGGGCTGGGCATGCGGGCGGATCATCCGCGGGTTTGGGCCGACCTACCCGCATTTGACCCGAATTTCGTTAAGTGGGTGGGTCTATGGATGGGTGACGGGTTGTGCTGGGAGCCATCTGCCGGGTGGTGGGTGGGTTGTGGGTGGATGCGCGGGTGACCCGCTCAACCCAACAACAAAAAGATCAAAGTCGTCGGCGCTAGAGAGGGGAGAGTGGAGATGTTAGACATAAACTAGGACTGCTCCTGGAGTTTGAACCTCAAAGCCAACCTTCCAAATAGCGATCCCCTCTTCTTCCCTTTATTTTCCCCTCTAATTCTTGTGCCTAGATCACTGCTTTTTCCTTTGTGAAATTATTTTTCTTAGTTCCTTGCACCTGATAATCATCTCAATCCGTAGAAAACTCTTTCATAATAGAATTTCTATCCATTTTAAGAACTAATTCGATATTTTTCGCCCTATTTCATCTTCTTGTTTCCCCAGATAACTCTCTGCACCTATTATCATGTCAAGTTGACTCCTTTATATTATATACATTGTGATGTGGGTGAACCCACAAACCCACCCAAATCATCCACCATCCGCCCGACCCAACCCAAGACTAAATGTGGGTGGGTGGTGGGTTAAAAATTATCAATCCGTTTAAGCGCGGATAGGTGCATTTTATGGTCAAAATCCACCCGACCCACCCAATGCCCACCCCTAGTAGTTAGTGACTAACCACATTACGCTTGGTGGTGACCTCGGATTCTTTTCAACCAATCTCACTCGTTTTCAACCAAGAAATGTAAATGTCTAAATTACGCTTCCCTTAAAATTATTCTTTTTGAGAGAATTTACAATTTCTACTTACTACTTTTAGTATGCCGCCCCTCTTCAACTCGAGTAAAAGTAGGTCTACATTCAATATCGTTGAATGCAATGTCATCACAAGTAAACAAACACTATGACAGGAGATACCATTGAGAAATCGTATGTCGATCTATTTTTCAAAGAGTTACCGTTCCAATCGTTTGAGCATTCCGGTTATGTGCGTTGTATCCATGGAAATTTACCAACTTGAATCATCTCAATAATTCAAGAAGTGATCCTTCATATACAAATCAACAAGCTTGAAGTTTGGCCACAATAATTGACCACAACGATCACTTACAATTATCTTCAAAAGTACAATTCTCTACACTTATGGTTTTGTGGGTTCTTCTTCTTCTTCCCCACCAACTTGCCGTCTAACCAAGCCATCAGCCAGCCCCCACTTGGTGACTGGACCGAGCAGAGAAGACCCATCCATCCATGGAAAAAGGGATCAAAATGATGCTTTCTTTCACTCTTACATCCTCATTTCACTCTTTTCACTATAAATATGCCAATATTTACTTCTCTCAATCAATCCAACTCCAAGTATAACACACTCATTCTTTTCCTTTCCTTTCCTTTCTCTCCTTAAAATTAACTGGTGAAGAAACAACTGATGGGCAGAGCATTTGCAGACCCACTATTGGTTGGCAGAGTGATAGGAGATGTAACAGATAGCTTCATCCCTAGTGTGAAGATGAAAGTCACTTACAACAACTACACAAAGCAAGTCTTCAATGGCCATGAGCTCTTCCCTTCTGCTGTCACTCTTAAGCCAAAAGTTGAAGTCCTTGGTGGTGACCTCAGATCCTTTTTCACCCTGGTAAAAATTTTCTTTCTTTTTGATGAATTGTCCACATTGGTAATCATTTGAAACCAGGAACAATGGGACAAAAGCAGCAATATGGTCGTTAAGAGACTTTTGGTAACCATTCTTTTTTGCTTTGGTGACCATTTAGTGATGTGGGTTTTTTTCAGGTGATGACAGACCCAGATGTCCCTGGGCCAAGTGACCCTTACCTGAGAGAACACTTGCACTGGTTTGTCTTTCATGCAGCAATCATCATCTCCTCCATTTCTTCTTTTCCCTTTGGGAAAACTGGTAAATTTTGCAGATATATCCTCTCTGCCACTAAATAAAGGGGAAAGTGCAGGGGAAAGCACTAAAAGAGGGGAGAACCCCTTTTCCATATATGTTTTCTGCAACTGTGTACAGTAAAATAGAGGATTGAACTTGAAGTACATGGAGGCATCTAGCTATAGTAATAGTATGTACTATAATCAGTTTTTTTTTTATAGTATGACATTCTGAAATATTGTACCTTTTTCCCTACAGGGTAGTCACTGATATCCCAGGCACTACAGATGCAACATTTGGTAAGCACACCTAGCCAAAAAAAAAAAAAACCCTCGTGTTTATAGTCGTTGGATCAATGTGCGTGACACGACATTATTTATGTCACCACGGTGATCCAACTACGTACGAATTCGTGAGGGGGGGGGGGGGGGATCGAAACATCAGATCATTCTGATACACACATGTATGGGTGCATAATGTGCAGGGAGGGAAGTGGTGAGCTATGAGATGCCAAGGCCAAACATAGGGATCCACAGGTATGTGTTCCTGCTGTTCAAGCAGAAGAGAAGAGGCCAAACCCCATTACTTGTTCTGAATTCGACGACGATAAGGGACAACTTCAAGAGCAGGAAGTTTGCAGCAGACAATGAGCTTGGCCTCCCAGTTGCTGCACTTTTCTTCAATTCCCAGAGGGAAACTGCTGCCAGGAGGAGGCACTAAAACTAATGTACCCTTAATTATAAGACAACCCTACCCTACAAAATAATTGTACGTACATTATAAGGTACTACCATGTAATAATTATAGCTAGCAAAGCTGGATGCGGGGAAGGATAAGGATGGGAACAACCAAGTTGGCTCTGATGAAGATGGTAGGGCAGCAGCAACAGTTCTGCAATCTGCAGAAGTAGTCATTCAAAATCACAGGCTGGATGGATTAATCTGATATTTGTTGTTGTTGGTTTATGTGTACGGTGAGCTGCTATAGCTATATTTTTTTACTGGACCTCGACTTTATCGTGATATCAGTGCACCATGTATACAATCTACCCTGGATTTACGAAATATATGATATCTTCGAGATTTTATGCTGAAATTATGTGAGTCTCATCATGTATTCATGCAGATTAGACAATGTGTACTAATATTATTGAATTTACACTATCTCTGCCTACAAAATACATGAATTCTTCAAAGAAATGAATTCTACATTACGCACTTGTCAAATCGCTGCAAGTATCGAGCTCTATTGACAATTGTTTCCACCTTTGAAAAGAAGTAGGACCCTAGAACTGTTAGAACATGACTTTCTTTGTGGTTGAGAGAGAGAGAGTTGTGAACTTATGAAATGAAAGAATCTAAAATCCAAGGAGGGAGGCCCCCCAAGGATATGGTCTGTTCTTGGGTCGACAAGTTCCTCAAATATGGTCTTTCACAAACACGCTTAAGCCAGTACTGATAGTGATTCCAGTCCTTGTGTCTACTGATGTAGCATCTCACTCTGTTTTTCCCCCCTTCTTTTTTTTCAAAATCATCTCTACCACATTGTACCAATTAACAGACATTTATGTCTTATAAAATTACTGCGTTCCACCGTGGATCGAATGCAACGTTGGTTCTGTTCTTGGTTCTATGTAGGGCTAGAGGTTCGGTTATCGGTTGCCGGTTGCCGGTTAACCGGCTAACCGAAAAACAATGCCGCGGTCGGTGTTCGGTAGGGGATTAGATGTGGCGGTTAACCGGGTAACATAGATAACTTTCTCGGGGGTGCTCTTTCAATGACTCTTGCTTTCAGTCTAAGGAACTGAGTCCTCTTTCCAGGTGAGAAAGCTCTGCTTGAATTGGTGGAAGCTGTTCAATCGGCCAAAGGGTCTGGTCGGAAAGAGGAGGGCGTTTGGTCCGACCATAGCCAGCGGTGGTTCACTCTCATGCCTTCTACTAGGCCGTTCATCTTCAAAGACCACAAACAATTGGCAGATATTGTCAGCATTCTGAACTTTCGACTTCTCGCTTGGCAATCCTCTTCTGATGTGATTAAAAACCAAGAAAAAAAGGATTGCTGTTGATTTCTTGAGTTCTGCAGGCTGCAGCAGGCTACGAGACGGTGAGAGACATCAATGTCGCCTCCCGCCTAATTGGAGATATGTCCGGCGCAACCCTGGACGACCGGCTTTCGGATAGATACAAGAAATTAGGTTGCTCCATTTCTGTTTTTGATCAAATTCTGTTCTTTTTCGAATGAGTTCTCACACTGCTGGTTTGTGATTGCAGTCTGGGCGAGCGATCGTTTGCTCCGATGCAGCAGCAGAAGCAGCTAGATATGGATTTACTGCTGTGGATAGGCCAGAAGGGTTCTTGGTCCTGGCAATGGCTTCTTTTGGACATCAGATCGTCGAGGTAAGGACGCCACCTGAGGATACCAAAACTTTGGAAGAGAAGAAAGTTGGGGTCAAGGGTTCAGGCAGGAAGACGACCGATGAAGCGGAGCATTTCACTTGGAGGGACGAGATCAAAGTTCCTTGTGGGAAACTAGTGCCATCAGATCATAAAGACAGCGTCCTGGAATATAATGAAAATGCAGTCTACGATCCCAAAATGGTACGGAGTGATTCGATTACTACCCTTTCCGTCTAGATCCATGATCACCAAAGCTAGATTTTGAAAACCTGACCTTGCTTTGTTGACTTCTTTAGACAAGCATAAGGTTCCTGGTGTCGGTCAAGTACGAGGAGCAGAATGCTGAGGTTGAAGATGTAGAACCTGCATAGAGAAAAAGTATGAGGAGCAGAATGCCAAAGTTGAAGATGCGAAACCTGCATAAAAACAGTGTGGAGTGGTCGATGGCGAACCTTCTGTACAGCCTCGGTTCACCCTTTTGGCGGAAATCTCCTTTGCTCGGAGACCAGCGGGAAGCTTTTAGTGTCTAGGAAACTTTTCTGCAGCATGAAACGAGGTTCTTCCAAAATTTTGTCAATGGTTCTGTACTTTCCGCAGTTGGAAACTCGGGAAGAACATAGGACTGCACATATATGTATATGTCAGCTGCTGCTCTTCAGCATTTGGCTGATACAAAAGTTTCAGCAACAAAGAAATCGTATCCCAAAAGAAATGTTCTTTCTCCACTAGCATCAGCTATCATGTTATGAACAACAGATAGTCGTAAATGAAACAAGATCCGGAAAAATGAATAGAAGATTCATACTTTGCATTAACCCATCAAGTTTCCACACATTTCGTATGGACCCCAAATCGCCATTTTTCCACGAACAAGGGTCAAAACATCTAAAGAAACAAACTTTTTCTTCTCGTGCAACTATTCGTGGAAGCCTGCCAACAAAGTACAAGACAAACCGTGGTCTAATAATGGATCGTCACAGGAGGGAACATGAACTTGCCGGAAATGAAAGGTATCGACTTGGGATTATGCACCAAATCATGATACAAATCGTACTCCGCGCCATAATCATGTAGCTTGAGCTCAGCCTTCTGATTCGTATGGTAATGATGCTTCGCGGAGATTGATTTCCCAAACCCAAAAACATCAACCTTATCGCATATCCCAGCAGCTAGCATCACCGCCTGCAACCCAGAAGAGTAATGGAACGTAGACCCATCGTGAGCAGCTCCCCATTCATCCAACGACTTCCCAGTCTCCGCCGCAAACCTCCTCAACGAGTAGTACTTCACGATCCTCGTGCACAGCAGATCGAATCGCGGATCGGTGACGATCAACAGCGCCTTGTGCGACGAGTTACATAGCGTGTAGTCCAAGAAATGAGCTGGTTGACAAATGTACATGGCAATGGGGACTTCAGGGCCATACGGATGGCAGAAGCAACCTGGCCATCTAGCACATAGATGCACAAATGTTGCTATTCACAAACGAGAGATCGGTTTTCGCCCCAACATTCCTCTCGAATTTCGCAATTCACGCATTGTTCAATCGGATCACCATCTCATTGCTGTCGATCAATTCCCCATACTCCTTCTGCAGCAAGATCCCACTGTTACCCACCATTGCACAAGAAGCATAACGTCGCGAATTCGGCGTTCCTCCTCTCCGCTTCTCGGTCGGTTTCTTTACGAGCTCGACGAGCTTGTTCATCACATCACGGTGGTACCTTCGGTTTCGCGCCCAGAGATGGAGAACCCGCCGGAAGTCGAGCCAGTACCGGTAGAATTCAGGGGATCTGAGCATCACCGGGAACCCCCGGGAGGAGGTCGCTTTAGGGTCATGGTTGTTGAACCTTCTCCAAGCAGCAAAAGTTCTGTACCTTCCCCGGCTGGCGAAATTTCCCTCCAGCAATTGCTCGATCTCTTTCTTGGTCTTCTCCTCGCCTGTGTCGATGGCGGCGTACCTCAACAGAGTGGAATTGAAAACAGGGGCGGTTTCAGGGTAGGGTAGTATTACATTGTGCTGAAGCTCAATTGAAGCGAACAAGGTCCGGCGGAGCAGGATCCGGAAGCTAGGAGTGGCGGCGAAGAGAACGAATATGAGAATGCTGAAGACGGGACGAACTGACCTTTTCATTGCCGCTCTAGCTCAATCATCCGTCGTCTTCCTCGGAGCAAGGTATTGCTAGCTGCTGTCTTCATCGAATTGCGGCAATACCCATCTCAGATCCATCTTCGGCTTTCTCATCCAGAGGGCAGAGTAATCAATCAATGGCGAATTGCTACGAGTGAGATGGGTTATTCCGTTCTCCCCCCGAAATTGCACGGGGAAACTCCATATCCACCTGCCCACCCGCCCGCCCGCCGACGAGAAACTCCGAGAGAAGGGCGCAATAAGCGGAGGTGGGTAGGAGAGTTAAGAGAGAGAGGAAAGGCGGAGTGGGAGATCTAGGGACGGAGAGAGAGGAAGGCGGGGCGGGGGCAGGGTTTATAATGGTGGCGGAGATGGAGGATTTATAATACCGGGCTCCTTGTTGCGAGGGAAATCGGAATAGCCGAAGGCTAGATTCGTTCTCTTTCGTTTTCATCATTCCTTTTATTCTTCTTTGTTAATGGCGACTGGCGAGGGAGAAATTTTGGTGGTTTGATCTTTGATGCCATGGGCAGGCAGGCAGGAGGCAGGGGATGGAGATGAGATCTTGAAACTATCAACCATCATTTTCCGTTTACATTTTGCTTTGTCTTTTCTTCCAATCTCGGCAACTTCTAGGGGGCGTGCAATGCTTTGTCTTTTCTTCCAATCTCGGCAACTTGTAGCGGATTACACCATATCAAATCGATATTTGGATTGGACTATATCAATTCGAGTATAAAATGACTTGATTCTAAAATATATTTTACTACTGGTTTGCGATTCTCATGAGTTGGATCAATCCGAACTGGACCGAACCATTGCACACCCCTAGCAACGGGTTTAGATAAGCAAGTTTCCCTGCATAATGCATACCATCTCGAATCACGATTTAAAGAACGTAATCATTTTCGATATTCAAGATTGGTGGAGCGTAAAGGACGATAACTAGCTTGCGACTAATAATTGTCTGTGTGTAAAATGTCATATCAAAATCTATTTGTGTGCACTTCGAAAGAAACTCATATGTGCTATTAAGTCGTTTGGTTTTGGTGATAGTTTGGTTGAGATAGTTACAATACATGCATTGTCCACAAATGCATCGTTTTCCTGAATTTTCTAAACTAACAATACAAGTATTGTTTGCTTGATTTACACAAACTATCACACAAAATGAGTGATAGTTAAATCTCAAGTTTTGGGTGAGATTATTTGGTTAAGATTGTTGTGTCTTGTTTTTGTTCCAACCATGACCCTACTTTTTTATGTGTGTTGCTTTCTCATATTAAATACAAAGGGTAAAAGTGACATTTTCAAAAAGTAAGTTAACTTATTTAAAATTATAATAACTATCATAGAAACCAAACGATGTAAACTACAATACACCATTTCACTCAAAAGGACTTTTGTCTGGTCGTTTGGTTTTGGTGATAGTTGATGTATTGTCATCAATGCATGCATAATAATATATATGTATATAAGAAAATTGGTGTACTGTAGTTTACATCGTTTGGTTTGTGTGATAATTATTGTAGTATTTAAATAAATTATATAACTTTTTGGGTGAAATGTCACTTTTACCCTTTGTTTTTAATATAAAAAAGCAACACACATAAAAAGGTAGAGACATATTTGGAAGAGGAAGAAAACACAACAATCTCCATCAAACAATCTCAACGAAAACTTGAGATTTAACTATCACTCATTTTGTGTGATAGTTTGTGTCAAATCAAGCAAACAATGCATGTATTGTTTGCGCAGAAAATTCAGAAAAACGATGCATTGTAACTATCCCAAACAAACTATCACCAAAACCAAACGACAAGAGATAAAAAAAGGGAGTATCTCTAAATTATCATTGTAACACAAATTCGGATGGATTCATTGCGGATACCAAAAAATACAAAAAATGAGAAAGATCGACGACCAAATAAGAAGAAGAAGAAAAAACGCCAAAGAGAGTTTCTCCATGCGGCAGGTACTATAGCTCCAACCATAAATTCGCGCCCCCCTTAGGTATTGTTTCAGTTCCCTCCTTCAATAAGCTTTGCCTCTTGAAAGAATGGTAGGATACGAGATCACAATAGCGAGGATGAGAATGCATCTGTCTGTCTGACCATTCTGTTATGAACGAGAAGGTTTTGTGACTAGCATGTTACATGTTTCAAAAGAGGGCGCGCTGGTATAGAGTTCGGGTGGGTTGGATCGTTGGGTTGGGTGAACATTTTTTTAAGGCTAACGACGTGAAGTGCTGACTGGATAAAACTAGCGGATATTTAGATGGAGAAGGACGAAATGGCTAGTCGTTATAATTGTTTTACACAAAATACAAATGTTTGTGACCATTTATGCAAAAATACAAAACTAGGAGTTTTCAAACAAGGATTTTGGACCTCGTGGCCTCCCATTCCCAACAACTTTGTTTTGATTTGGACGACAGAAAGAAACGCATTTGAGCTGAACAACTCATTGAATTCTTTTCTCTCAGCAGTTCCTCAGGCATCATGTTGATAATCATGTTTATTAGCGCGACAAAACAACTCACCACCAAAGAACAATTGTTTGTCTTATGTGCTAATTATTTGAGACAAAGTTGATATAATAATATGATAAACCCAATTAAAAACAGAGCAAATCATGATTAAGAATGTACATTCACAAGCAAAAGGCAAATCGACAAACCCACTAGTACCGCCCGACCCCAACAACCCCAACCCCCCAAAAGCCAATTCAACTTTCCCATCTTCTAATAATCACCGCCGATCACCGGCGGCGGCCGGTTCCGGCCAGCCTGTCACGATAACTGAATAGCATCATTAAGAAACGCGTTTCTGATTTATCCCCATTTCAATTTTCCACCGTTTCGAAACGCCGGTCAGATCTTGTGGAGCTTCTCACCCTTGACGACCGGATTGGCCCTGGCGATCTGCTCCTTCCCCAGGCTCTTGAAATCGAACCCGCAGCTGTGCTTCTCCGGGTACCGGTGGCCGCCGCAGAACACCATCCCGCACCTGCACTTGAACCCCGTCAGCCCCACGCGCTTCCTGCACTCGCTGCACCTGTTCGCCTGCGTCGCCGCCGCCACCGCCGGAGCCGCATCCTTCTTCTCCAATCCAACAACCTCCACGGCCGCCTCCGCCGCCCTCCCGACGGAAGGCGCGGAAACGGAGGACGACGGGGATGGGATCGAGGAAGCGGCGGAGGAGGAGGTGGCCAGGGTCTGGTTCAAGGCGAGCTTGCCTTGCTCCTTGAGCTGCAGATCTCGGTAGCACTTGGAGCAGAAATCCTGCGTCGCCGGGCTACCGAAGAAGCCGCAGTTGTTCGCGCAGAGGCGCTGTGCCTGGCATCTGTGCTCTTCCGCCATATCCTTTCTCCCTCCCCTCTCTCGATGGATGATCGAATTCGAATCTCTGACAAAATCAATCACACAGAACACCAGATTTTTTCAGGATAAAAGAAAAACCAAACAGATCCGATCCAGAAAAACCAAACGCGAGAATTCGTTTGGCAAAATTCGTACCTTACTCGGCCGGGCAGAGGGATCTGGTTTTTTTTTGCTGGATCTGGGGATCGTCGAAGAAGAGAGGGAAAGGAGGAATCGGTTTCTAGGGTTGCTGAGGAAATTCGGAGAACCAGAAATTGAGGGAGGTGGCGAAATGGGAATTGGGGGTTTCTCGAAGCTTTCTTTTTTATATATAATGGAGAAAAGGCCACAGCTTCCAAAAGGCGAACCCAACCACCTCCACATAAAAAATGGGCGGCCGGGCCGACTAAAATAAATGGGGGAAGAAGAAGAAGAAGGGAAACGGAAAGTAGGAAGGAAACAGAAACCAAACACGGCGATGAAAGGAAAGAAAAGGAATCTCTCATTTTCTCCTTTTTCCTTTGGTGTAAAGGAAAACCAAAAAAGAGGGAGGAATCTCAATTCTAGGGCTGATGGTCGGGTTTTTCCTATCCGGTTGGACCGTTAATCGATTATTTTTTTCATGATTTTTCGACTATTAATCGATAAAGCGATTATGAGTTATAGGGATATAAAATATGTTAGAGAAAAATAACGATTATATCTAGACAAAATACACATGCATGTGTAGAATCGGGACGGGTTCGGGTTGGATAGTGAGAAATCCATGGCCACCCATTTCTCGCAATATTCGAGTTCGGGTTTTACCCGTACCCACTAAATGTCCTCCGGGTTCGGGTTTTACCCTACCCGATTAAGCCGGATTCGGGCGGATATACACGATTACGGATATTTTTGCCATCACTAATAAGTTAAAACCTAAATCTACTAATTTATTGCCAAAACAACTTTGAATTCCCTGTTCATAGCAAATCTTCTTCGTCTATCTCCCAACCGAACTCTAAAACGGTAAAATCCCAACAGGTCTCAAAATCGCAATTAGTGTGTGTTTCACAAACCGGGAGTCCGGCCAAAAAAACCTCCTACAAAAGTCTAAATCGGTAGACTATTTTCAGCAATATAAAACGATTAAACAGCGATTTAGTATAAAATGCGGAGCCGCTGACTTTTCCGGTACGATTTTACAATCGTCCATCACAATATCTTACTTTTATAGAACCCCAAATAACAAGTCCAAATTCTTTTGATTGTGGGAGGTGGGGAATGGATCTAGTTGGCAATTGGCATTGCAATGAAAAGATACCAATTTTATTTTTCCAAAACATCGATTAAGATTAGATGCTTGTAATCATGGATTAAATTAATCACATCTCTTGATTGATATTTTCGCGTGGAAAATGTTAGTTGGCTGTATGTATAATAATACGTTATCTCTTTTGCCTTGTTAGAACAAAAAAAAAAAAAACAATGACCAATATTTTAACGAGTAGAGAAAGGCAAAGGAGGAAGTTTCTCAGCTGGTCTCTCTTCCAAGTTGCTAGTTCTTATCACCACGCGGTTACGATCAACAATGAAATGACCGCTTTTTGGACCGTGCTAAGTCACATTAAACTCCTCTAATGAAGATGATAACTAAGCAGACGAGAATGCTAAATGAACTCAAAGTTGTTCTGTCAACTGAGAGGTTCAGTAAGATAGTTCTACCGAAAGCTGACAACTCGCAATCTTATACCAGATGGTTTCGTTCGATTGAGATGTCTGTCTCGATCGTATTTTCGAAAGCACGAAGGTATCATTGTTGCAGAACTTCCACTAAATTTACTTGCCTACTTGGCTAGCTATGAAAAATATGATTTTCAAGTAAGTGAACAACTCGGAAGGGAGCTCAGAAAAAAACAGTTTTCCAGATCAGAAGTGCCATGAATCTTAGAAAATGGCAAATGTTGTAACAAAGTTAAAAATGTCAGTAACTGTTCGGAAAAGAAAGGGGCCAAGCAGTTTCTGGGTTCATAGTTCATACATTAGTTTGCAACAGCGACGATATATGCGTTCCAGGAATCCTCTTGCTCAAACTTTTGGACCTCCTCGTACTTGATGTCTCGTCCAGCACCGAATCCTTGTGTGCTCCTGCTTTCCTCGACGTCTGGCACCTTGCGAAGCCAGAAATGGACGGACCGAAACCCTGCCTCCTCTAAACAGTCTTTGATTTCTGGCAATGACCATCTGGAAACACACACACAGAGAGTAGAATTGATGACGTAGTAACAAGAGCAGTACTGAGGCAAAAAAGCATCGGGGGAACGAATGGTAACTTACAGCCTCCAGCTGTATGAAAATGCGTGGCGGATTTTCCTCTGCTGCTTCAGGAGATGGAAATGGAGGCTGATTCTTGTTTTTCGTGCCAGTATGTCGAACTCAGCTTGCTCCCACATGTACTGCAGAGTTAGAATTGAAAGACACCACAGCTGTAAGGACACAGTGTAAACCAGATATCTTCGACTGGATATTAGCAGGAACCGAACTAGTTCAGCCAGAAGGGATCGTAAACACACTACCAGTACAGGAAAACTTTCAGCAGCATTTCTCACAGAAAAGAGTTGTATGAATATGGCAACCAGAGGTGGATTGAAGAGAGTGTTCTATATGTACCGTGAAATTAGGAAATCTTCTCTGAAGCCTCAGTTTTTGCTCAGATGAAGTACCACCATACAAATCCATCACAAAGATCCCGCCTTTCTTGGACAAGCATTCAAGAACATTCTTGAAGTACAAAACAAGTTCTCCCCGTTTGTGGAGACAACAGCAGCTGAAGTTGAAAGCACACACAATGTCTCTTGCTGGTAGAGGACAGTTTCTCTTCAAGTACTTGTCATCAGGGGAACATGGCAAATCTGTTCTGGTCGAAGAATCGAGAACATCGCCAGCTGGAACATGATCCTCCGCGCCCTCTTCCAACTCAATAGTACTACTCATCAGTTCTTCGGATTCACTCCTCAACAGTTTCGCCTCGAGAGGCTGCAAGACGTTGCCATGGAAGAGGGATATTCTAGAATATACATCAGCACCAACTTTGTTTATGTTGTTCTCCATGCACCATTCTAGTGCCTCCAGGTCCAAATCCACTCCCACTGCAGTCCGCCTCGAGTCACCCCTCAGCCATTCTGTACTGCAAATGACATCAAGGTATAAAGTATTTAGGCTGTATTTCATAAACTTGTAATTGACAGAAGGACCTAAAAGTTTAACCTACTTGGCATATGAGGGAAACTGAGAGGTTTAAAGGTTCGAAAGAACGAACCAAAGAACATTAGGAACCTACAGATAAGCTACAAAGTTGCACCCAGTTATCCATATTGAAGCACCATCACCATATTCAGTAACAGATGAGACAAACAAGCGAAGCAACCTAACAAAAATGCGTGAGAAAGGATGCAACTGAGCTGCATATTTCATACCTAAGGAGAGCAGTGCCACAGAAATCTTCCTGGAAATGGAGAGGCACCCTCCCACCCACATACATCAGAAAGAACTTCTGCAAATAGCTTATGTCTCCTTTGGGTGACTGCATCCATGGACACAGAAAACCTCTTACCAATTAGAACTTCACCAACAAGCCAAAAAAAAACACTTCAATTCTAAAATGAGCTTGTTTTCTCCATCAAAGGCAGAGTCTCTTGCAACATTGAACAAGCATACCATCAAACTAAGCCACAAAGCAACCCTTTCAGTGATCAAACCCAGCAAAAACAACAAATTGGGGGAAAAAGGGTTTCTATCAGTAATAACCAACCAAAACCCAAATGTATCTCAAACTTTGACATCCTCAGTTTACCTGTACAGACTGCTGGTAAAGGAGATACTTTGAAGGAATATCTCCAGATGGGTTGGCTTCCTCTTGTTCATTGTCTTCTGGGAAGTCGTCGTCAACTGGAGAGGCTTTATCTTCATCGGAAAGAGGGGAAGAAGCAACCACGCTTTGTGGGCCGTCGTTCTCTCCTCCGCCATTGCCATAGTCGTCCTCGTAGTAGTAAGAAGCTGTTCTCGGAGCATGCTGCTGCCTATGTTTCTTCTCTTTCTTTTTCCCCATGGCACTCCTTGCAGCCGCCGTCGCCGACTAATTTCCTCGGCGTCAAGGTTTAGAGCACTATTTGTAAAATATTGGGTGTCATTGTCAACTACAAAATGGTCATTACACTTTGATGGACTTCACTAACTGATCCATAAACTTTAAAACATTTAAAATCGATCACCAAATTATTATTCTTCTATTTTCCCAATAACAAAATAAGAAAAGGGGAAACGAGCGTCCAATCCCACGTCAGAAAACTCCTTTTTTCCCTTCTTCTTCAGTTCCTTCACCATTCTTTCTCGCAGCACACGCTTCCTTCCCTTTGACGAACCAAATTTCCCGACTTTCTCCTTTCCAATTCTCGATCCTCCGATTCCACTATCTCCACCAATCCCAATCCAGCCGCCATCGTCGTCTTCGTCAGATCCCAGTTTCCTCATCTCTCACCAAAACCAAATTCAGACCCACCAAATCCTCTCTACTTTCTAGGGTTTCTCAGCTCACGCAGTGTTTTGTCATCTCATGCCATCCCCAGCACACGATTGACCGATCAAGAAGATTTGGTGAGTGGGATTTTTAAATAATGTACAGCAACTTCAAGGAGCAAGCGATAGAGTACGTGAAGCAAGCGGTTCAGGAAGACAATGCCGGGAACTATGCGAAGGCTTTCCCCTTGTACATGAACGCGCTGGAGTACTTCAAGACCCACCTCAAGTACGAGAAGAACCCCAAAATCCGAGAGGCGATCACCCAGAAGTTCACCGAGTACCTCCGCCGCGCCGAGGAGATCCGCACCGTGTTGGATGAGGGCGGGCCCGGTCCCGCTTCCAACGGCGATGCCGCCGTTGCTACGCGGCCCAAGACGAAGCCCAAGGATGGGGAAGATGGGGAGGATCCTGAGCAGACGAAGCTCAGAGCTGGGTTGAATTCCGCGATCATTAGGGAGAAGCCGAACATTAAGTGGACTGATGTGGCTGGGCTTGAGAGCGCCAAGCAGGCGCTTCAGGAGGCTGTTATCTTGCCCGTTAAGTTCCCCCAGTTCTTTACAGGTGATGGATCGTTTTGTGACTTTTGCTATCCTTTGTTTGCTTGGTTGTGGGGCACTGTTATGAATTTGTGGATTAGTGGTGATTGGTCTAGCTTTTTAGTTTTGTTTATGTTGAGTTATGGGATGGTTTGTGGAGTTGTTAAAGGCTGCAAAGTGTGCGGTTTGGATGGTAGACTGTTCAAATTGTTTGGAGTGATGACTGATAATGATTACAGTTTGGTTGATTACTGCAAGACTTGGATGTGAATGATGAATACTCGAATTGGAGATTGTAATGTGAAAGACGGCTGTGTGTGTTTATAGCTTTTATAGGCATCTTATGGTACACTGATTTAGTTGGTCCCCTTAGAGAACTCTTTGACTCCCCATGGTAACCTTACAGACTTCATCATTCTTCCCTTTGTCTAGAAGCCTCTCCTCGAATCCTTTAGCTACAGATCCTGTTTCTTCTCATTGATTTTATGTTTGCTCTATATGACTTAGGCAAGAGGCGACCATGGAAGGCTTTTCTTTTGTATGGGCCTCCTGGTACCGGAAAGTCTTACCTGGCTAAGGCTGTTGCAACTGAAGCAGACTCTACCTTTTTCAGGTAAAGTTTTTGATGAAATGGAGCTTGTATGATGTCTCTTCTTCCCTTGCACACATTTGTGCTATTGTTTGTTCATGTTTCGTCCATTAATATTATTTTGTCCTACATCTTGATTGCTGTTTTTTTTTTATCGTGTGTCTTTATCTTTGCTTTGTGTAGTGTTTCTTCGTCAGACCTGGTCTCGAAGTGGATGGGTGAGAGTGAGAAACTTGTATCAAATCTTTTCCAAATGGCCCGTGAAAGTGCCCCTTCTATCATCTTTGTCGATGAAATAGATTCGCTGTGTGGACAACGTGGTGAAGGCAATGAAAGTGAAGCTTCCAGACGTATTAAGACTGAGCTTCTTGTTCAAATGCAGGTCTGGTTTTGAATATTAATGTTGGATGATGAAGGTGGTCATTAGTTTTCTTATCTACTCATTGTTAAACTTCAACTTACATGGATATGTTGATGTGGGCAAAATCTTCTCATGATTATATGACGACAGATGTGCTAAAAAAAATTCAGGGAGTTGAGCTTCTGTGCTCAATGTGTCTGTTGCTGGAAGTTTCCCACTTATTTATGCATAATTATGTGACAACAGATGTTGATTTATGCTTTTGGTACATGTTTGTGGTGCTTACTGGACATCTGCAGTTGATAGATACCTGGCGTGAGCTAACCCGGGTTCAATTTAGATGGCTATCAATACATCAAGTTCTGCGCTTAGATTTATTAAATTTGTTACTAGAATATCAGCGCTATCCCCAGTACTTGTATATCATCCCGGTCTATTAGCGCTTGAAAAGTAAACCAAGTTACTGTGCTGTCAGTCAGCATCTTTTTTGCAGTATGCTTTCAGTAAAGTTGTGTGATGGCCTTAATCATTTAATATTTCAGCCTATTGTTTTAGTTTTGTTTTGATATGTCATTATGGGTGATATCATAATGATTCGCTAGTATGTCTGAAGTTTCATTATGGTGGTAGGCGACATCTGGGAGCCGTAGGCCCCTATATTGATTTTATCAACTATAATTTATTGAATTTCTAAAAGACAGTAATTGCCTATTTATAAGATCTTGTTGCATTGGTTGATTTCAGGGTGTAGGGAACAATGACCAGAAGGTTCTTGTTCTTGCGGCCACTAATACACCATATGCCTTGGACCAGGTAGGTAATGGTGAGCAATTACATTAAATTTTCCTGGGCAGAGGATTATTTGTTTCTTTTTCTAAACGATAACGTGATTCCAGGCTATCAGGCGACGTTTCGACAAGCGTATTTACATCCCTCTACCTGATGCAAAGGCTAGACAGTACATGTTCAAGGTATAAACTTCTGTTGCAAATTTTCGATGGTACTTTCCATTTGGATGCTATTCAGAATTTGTGTAATCTCTGGCCTTCAATTTTTTGGGCAGGTGCATCTTGGTGATACTCCTCATAACCTGACAGAAAGTGATTTTGAAAGCTTAGGTCGTAAGACAGAGGGCTTCTCAGGTTCAGATATATCTGTTTGTGTAAGCACTGCTCCAACTGAAATACATCTATCTTCTCATTAGCTTGTTATTTGGTTCTCTCTTTATTTCCAATGGATGATTCCAGTGATTGTATGCTTTAAATCTGAACAGGTTAAGGACGTTCTGTTTGAGCCTGTTCGTAAAACCCAGGACGCCATGTATTTCTTTAAGACACCTAATGGTATGTGGGTACCATGTGGATCTAAGCAACCCGGTGCAGTGCAAACCACGATGCAGGATCTGGCAACCAAAGGAGAAGCCGCAAAGGTATAGTCCCCTAAATCCTCCCATTTTAAAACCTGCTTCAGTTTGTTCCATATGGCATGTTTTTCTGGTCTCTGAATTTACCTCTTTTGTGGTTGCTTGAATGGGTTTGATTGTTGCACAATGCAGATACTTCCACCCCCAATCTCGAAGGCCGATTTTGACAAGGTCCTTGCCAGACAGAGGCCCACAGTGAGCAAATCCGATCTAGAGGTTCATGAAAGATTCACAAAGGAGTTTGGAGAGGAAGGTTAATGGAAATATGATCCCTAATCACTATTGTATTGAGATTGCTTGCCTGGACATGAGCTTTTATGTCTTAGTTGTTGCTTCTGTTGCTTAAAAAATCTGATGATGATGATATACAACCTCATTGTCCATATGGAAGGTGGTGGCTTGACTTTCCTCTGTAATTTTAACAGCCGAATACTTAAAAAAGGTCAGAGGATTGATGAATTGATGTTTATGAAATTGTACAAAGAACCTTTTTAGAGCTTGTTGCATTTGGAGTTTTATCTTGCTTTCAGCATATGGTCATATTGGAGTTGAGATCCCTCAGTTTCTGTATAGTCATTGAATGTTTACTTTTGCTTGAATTAAAGGTTTCATGCATTTTATGTAGCAAATTATTCAGACATGTCTTTGGCTCGAAGCACAATTAAACATCGGGCGCTAGCAACATTAGCTCTGCTGCTCGCCTGCATCTTTGCCATCATATGCCACTGCCGTATTAAGCGAACGCGTAGGAATGCATCCTCTGCTGGTGTTCTGTGGCAATTGGCAACTAAACTGGTTAGGTTTCTCAGAACAGGAAGAGCAACTGAGGTTGATTGTGGCCTGCTGCAATTTTGCACCTGTTATTAGAAAGAATTGAGGAAGGTGAAAGAAGTCGACTTTTCTTGTATGCCAAGTCTTCTGGAGAAGGTGAAGGTCTGAGTTCTGATAGTTGTAACAGCTCAAGCTTGTAGCTTTTGGCCACGTTGAAATTTGAATATAAACCAAAGCCATGGCAAGTGCGTTCTGTTTCTTTGTTGTGTCTAATGAATGGGTTGGGTTGTGACATTAAATAGGCATCTACATTCCCATCTCAGCGTATAGCTATTTGCCTCCTTTGTCACTGCATGTGTATGAAATCGTAAGCTTAGACATCATTGCTATTCTTCCCCACAAGCCATCAAAGCCTCACGAATGTTTCATTGCAGACCATAATGAATTTAGTTCATGCAAACCCAGGGGCTCAAATCGGCTCAATGGCAAACTGGTTGTGCACCGCAGCGAAATCATGACCAAGAGCGAAAAACATAGCATCTGCAAAATACATCCCGGCAACAGCATTCGTGCTGGAGGATCTGATGTCATGGCTCGGTTTTAACATTAGCAAGGAACTTGAGTTCAAACAGTACCTGAAATTTCAAGGCAGATTATGAACAACAATGATTAGCACGAGCTAGTCCTAATGTGGACCCGGGTAATGTTACACGATGATGAAAGCAATTTCACGTGCATTCAAAATCTGCCCATGTAAGACTCTCCTACAGATGCAACTAACTTGATGCGCTTTTAATTATCGAAGGTACTGATGCGTGCATGCATCTAGCTTAGTGGTCGTTCCCCTCGAGTTATTCTACACTCTCACTGCAAGAACCTTCATGCAGGAAAGGTGTAGAGCTCAGGTTAGAACGAATTAGCAAACACACAGACATAGATCTATTGGGAGGGGATCTTGAAACTGATACCTCATCTTTATGTAGCAGTTTGAGAGGCTCAACGATCAGCTTCATGCCCTCCAGAAGTTCAACATTGAGGTGGCTCTTGAATTGTGTAAGAAGTTCCTCCCAGTCCAGGATAAAGTTTTTGGAGAACAAGGTAATCAGGCTTTATCCCCCAGCCCAAACCACGTTAGCATCAAAGAAGCTAATGAAATCCTTTCCAATTATCTTCATGACCTTCAGCCTTCAGCTTACAACACACTGTTTTCTTTATCAACACCAGTAGCAACTAACAAATAAATGAAGATGCTTCTCAGATGATTCCATCACTTGATCTTGCTCTCCTAACACCTATACATTGAATAAAGTTATGATAAGAAAACACAATCAACTGAAGATTACAACATGACTAAACACGGAGTAGGTCTGATTGACGATATACATATAACTATTTCTTGTGCAGAACAGCACAGAGTTTTGATGAACAAGACTAGGCAAATTGAAAAGGAGTAGCATGCTTTTCTTCTTTGATCCATAAAAAACAAAGCAGAAGAGTAACAAACTTTACCTCCAGATGGCAGTGAAGAATCAAAATATTTTCTTCTAATTCTCCACGATAGTAGCACCCCCATGTCGGCTTCTTCCCAGCACTTCAAATTCCTTGGGCAACTGACCCGCCTGACGCCATGGCTCATCCAAGCCAACAGCCTATCCAGATTACCAGCTGGCCTTTAATGGGCTGTCACCAATAATCTCCACAAGAGCACGACCCATCCTTAAAATGATGAAACCGATTCGTATCCCTAACAACAATGTACCTCCCTTCTATCTTGGAGATCAACTTAATCACAACATGACAGTCTCCACAGACTCTGAGATTCTTCATGACCCGCAATGGAGTACCTGGTGGCGTAGCAATCAACCCAAAAGCAATCGCCAGCCTCTCACTGTGCTGAGAAAGAATGGCCTCTTTGTGTTCTTCATCAACATCAAGCAGCACATGATCAGTATCAGCCTGATACCCAGCATCTTTCAACCTCATCCGCAGCTCCTCAAGCTTCTCATATATCTCGTTGGACATTGGATGAGACGAATCAGCCGCCAAAAATGAGTAAGTCTTGTTCTTCACCTCGATCCAACTGTACCCAGCTTCCTTCTTCACCTTTCTCCCATCCATCAAACTCCTCACTCTGGCTCTCTCCTTCCAGTTCCCCGCCATTGCATGCATGTTCGACAGCAGGACATAAGCTGCAGAGTCTTGTGGCTGCAAAGAGATCAGCTTTTCGGCTGCAAGTGATCCGAGCTCTAGATTGCGGTGCACACGGGAAGCACCCAGTAGGGTTCGCCATACGGTTGCACTAGGTGGAAATGGCATTCCATTGATGATATCCATGGCCTTCGCAAGCTTTCCAGCTCGGCCATAGAGATCAACCAAGCAAGAATAATGCTCCATCGTCGGCTCAACACAGTGATCTCTAACCATCATGTCGAAGTACCTTTGACCTTCCTCCACTAGTCCAGCATGCACGCAGGCAGAAATGACACCAATGAAAGTCACACCATCCATCTCCATGTTTTGTCTCCGCATTTCGTCAAACACCTGGAGAGCATTGTTCACATGGCCGTGTTGTGCATAACCTGAGATCATTGAATTCCACGACACCAAATCTCTGTCCTGCTGTCTTCTGAAAACTTCGTTAGCACTCAGAATGTCGCCAGTTTTGGCGTACATGGTGACAAGAGCACTGCTCACACAGAAAGCATTGTTGAATGTTGACTTTATTGACCAGGCGTGAAGCTGTTTCCCCTGCTGTACTGGCGCCATTGAAGAAGCACACGCATTTATGACGCTGGAGAAGGTATACTCGTTAGGCTTGATACCATGTTCCGCCATCTCAACAAACGTCTTGACAGCAGCCTCTGTATCTCTTTTCAGAGCATATCCAGCTACCATGGCTGACCATGCGACAATATCCTTCTTCTCTATCCTGTCGAAAACCTTTGAACCTTCGTCAACTTCTCCTAATTTCACATAGGTGTCCAAGAGTGCAGTTCCAACTGTGGGAGACTTCTCAGAGTTCGCTTTGATAGCTTGTGCGTGAACTTGATGAGGAGAAACCATCGGCGAAGCTGAGAGGATTGTGGAATACGTAAACTCATTCGGCTTAACACTTTCCCTGTTCATTTGAAGGAAAAGCTCCACAGCTCTCTTTGCCTTTCCATTTTGCAGGTAGCCACTGATCATAGCAGTCCATGCCACCACATTCCGAGCTTCTTCACCCAAAGCTGAGAATATCTCAAAAGCATCATCCATTACCTTGCACTTGCTATAACCAACCATGAGGGCTATCCTGATATGCTGGTCGAATTCAAACCCAGTTTTCAGTACCAAGCAATGTAGCTGCTGTTGAAAGCCCAGTTCTTTAATACTGGTGCAGAGCTTGATTACAGCAGCAAAAGTCATGTTGCTTGGCTTGGCATTAACAAGTCTCATGTGGTGAAATATCTCGAGTGCTTCGGAATGCAGTCCATTGGTTGCATAACCAGCAACCATACTATTCCAACTAACTGCAGTCCTATCAGATAAACGATCAAATACTGCTTTCGCTTCCCTAATCCTTCCAGATTTTGAGTAGATGCTGACCAAAGAATTGCAAACTGGTGTAGCTGTTTGAAACCCGTTCTTTATTGCTGCAGCCTGAAGTTGGAGTCCCTTCTCAACCATTCTTTCACCGGATAGTGACCCAATAACCGTGGCAAAAGTAAAAGGTCCAGGTTGAACCCCTTCTGATTGCATTCGAACGAACAATTGCAGCACCTCAGCATCCAAACCATTCTGCGCATAACCGGTGAGCAAAGATGTCCATGAAACAACGTTTCTTTCCCCCATTTGATCGAACAATCTCCTCCCTCTCTCCACGCTCCCATTCTTGAAGTACATATCAACCATGGAAGTACCAACGCTCACATCGTTCAAAAATCCGCACTTGGTACAATGGCCATGAATCTGAACACCAAAATTTTGATCAAGCGAGTATGCACAAGCTTTGAGCACGCAAGAAATGGTCGATCCATCAACAGGAAGACCAGAACGATGAACACCCATGAAGAGGCTCAGAACCTCGGAGTGTCTATTATTGCGAGAGCGCTCAAAGAGCAAGCGATTGCTGCAGCGTGCCCCCTCGGGACTTTCATCAAACAAGTGGTGGACATCAGGGTCGTCCTCGCTCCTTTGGGCCAGGGCATGATTTGAGACACAGAAGCTTGTGCGCGGTGGAAAGTTGAAGCGGGTTTTCAATGTACAGAAATGGGTCTGCCTCTTCAGCGAAGTTGCCAACGCTTTCATGAAGAATGCCTGGATTATCATCATCAACTCTCTGCTTCAACAGCAGCTCACTCCACTCCTCGAAAAGTTGCAGACTTTGAACAATAGAGACATTCTCAACTATACCCATTATTCATATCTCTGTCTCAACGAAGCTTGGCAGCTAAGGGCGCTATCCGAAAGGGATGCGGACTTGCGGAGTTCTTCTGCACAGGAGGAGGAGTTATTTATCATATACTTGGTGGAGCACTTGGCAGTTTACTTCTGGGTTCTTTCTGTTTGTGATATTTATAGCAGAAGAAATATTCAGGGAAAAAAAATTAAAGCAAAAAAGAAAAGAGTAATATTAGAAGAGAAACGAATCTTCTTCCTTTACCCAAAACTTTGCCTGGAGGAAGGTAGGGCAGCTGTCATAAACCCTAATTTACCTTCTCCAAGTGATCCTCGGATTTTCAAATTCCTGTCTTTTCCCCTTCCTCTCAATAAAGAAAAGAAAAAATTACCAGAGACGACAGACAGCGAGTCGCATAATAGCAGTCTAGTCGGACAACCTCGGAGCGGATTTAGGTTTTGACAGTTACGAAGAGGAAAAAAGTGGAAAAGGGGCGTTCTTTATCTTCTTCAAGATCCTCTTTCTTTCTCTTCCTGTGATTCATCGGACAGTTGCCTCCTCCCTAGGGCTTATGCTTACGCCAACTGAGGTTTCTTATTAAGTTGTGATCGAGGGTTATTTTCAACGAGAGTGAGATAGTGCTGTGAAGGTCGCTTCTTCTCTGCTCCACGCTCTGTTAAGTTCTTTTAGGTTTCAGTTCGAGCGGGTTTGATTGAACTTGCGATTCCTGAGGGGTTTGGATGAAATTGAGGGGATTTATGGCGGCGTTGTTGAACTTTGACACATTTACGTAGAAAGGAAGGGGACGTGCAGATTGAGGTTTGTGGGAGAAGAAGAGCTTCTTCTTGGGTAGAAAGCAAAGATGATTGCTGAGAAACCCAGTTGGGTTAAGCATGAGGGAATGCAGATTTTCTCCATCGATATCCAGCCCGGTGGCCTCAGGTTTGCCACTGGTGGAGGTGACCATAAGGTAAACAAACGTGTTCCCCTTCCTACTTCCTATTATTGTCGAAAATGTTCAGCCTATAATGTGCCCAAATATGCGGGAACTTACTGTGGAACATCCTTGAAGCTAGAACCAATGAAAATGTTGTAGCTGCTATTCATGTGATTCTTGCTTCCAGAGTATGAGATGGTTACTACCACTTGTGTGAATTTTAGTCTAGGTTTTGTTGTTTTCAGCTGTTGTTGTCTTACTGATTGAGTTGCCTGAAAATTTCAGGTCAGGATATGGAATATGAAATCTGTTAGCAGGAATTTAGAAGAGAATGATGAATCACAGAGGCTATTAGCGACTCTACGTGATCATTTTGGTTCGGTTAATTGTGTGAGGTGGGCGAAGCATGGCCGTTATGTTGCATCTGGTTCCGATGATCAGGTGATCTTAGTTCATGAAAAGAAGCCTGGTTCTGGAACCACAGAGTTTGGTAGTGGGGAGCCCCCAGACGTGGAGAATTGGAAGGTTGCATTGACTTTGAGAGGGCATAGCGCTGATGTGGTAATGGCATTTGCTTTCGCTAGTTGGATCGCCAAAGTTGGAAAAACTTTTTCGATCTGTTTTTTGCTGTTCATTGAATGGATAAATAAACGCCTTGACTATCTTTTTTTGTTCGTGCTAGTTGTTTCTAGTATCTTCTAACTGGGAGTTTTTGTTCTGTGCTTAAAAGTAGGTGGATCTCAACTGGTCGCCGGATGATTCCACACTGGCTAGTGGAAGTTTGGACAACACAGTTCATGTCTGGAATATGAGCAATGGAATATGCACGGCCGTTCTTAGAGGTCACTCTAGCCTAGTTAAAGGAGTTGCTTGGGATCCCATTGGCTCTTTCATAGCAAGTCAATCAGATGATAAGACTGTGATTATCTGGAGAACGAGTGACTGGAGCTTGGCTCACAGAACCGATGGCCACTGGGCGAAATCAGTCTGTTTTCTCTGCCTTTTGTGAAAATTTTGTCTCTTCCTTAACAAATTTTATGCTTCCTAGTGATTGGGTCTTAAGTTTGTATCTTCCATCGTTTTTTTGCCAGCTTGGATCGACTTTTTTCAGGCGTCTTGGCTGGTCACCTTGTGGCCATTTCATAACAACCACACATGGTTTCCAAAAGCCTAGGCATTCTGCTCCTGTTCTAGAGAGAGGAGAGTGGGCTGCAACATTTGACTTCCTTGGACACAATGCTCCCATAATAGTTGTGAAGTTTAACCATTCAATGTTTAGGAGAAACACTTCGAATGCCCAAGAGGCTAAAACTGCAGCAGTTGGGTGGTCAAATGGGGCGTCAAAGACTGCAAGCAAAGAGTCTCAGCCATACAATGTTATTGCAATTGGTAGTCAGGATCGAACAATAACCGTATGGACGACTGCAAGTCCTCGCCCTCTTTTTGTGGCCAAGCATTTCTTCATGCAAAGTGTCGTCGACCTGTCCTGGTAAATTAGCTACTTTAAACATTTAGATCAATATTACTAGGATGATTGATCATTATCTTTAATTTTGCTTATTTCCTTTTCCGTACAGGAGCCCTGATGGATACTCGCTCTTCGCCTGTTCATTGGATGGATCAGTGGCTACTTTCCATTTTGATGCAAAAGAACTTGGACAAAAGCTGAGTGATACTGAACTAAGTGAGTTAAAGAGAAGCCGATATGGTGATGTCAAAGGCCGACAGGCAAACTTGGCAGAGAGTGCTGAACAATTGTTGCTCGAGGCAGCCTCAGCTAAGCAGACAGCCAGCAAAAAGGTGGCTGTAGACAATAAGCAAAATGAGCCACCTATAAAATCTTCAGTTGAGTTAGTGCCCATTACAAAGCCCCCTGAGCCCCAAGTCGATGCCGAGAAGAAAGGTGGAGGAGTGGTCACTAATAATGATGGTTTGAATAATAAAGTCTCAACTTCTGCTCGAGTTTCTAGCCCTGTGAAACAACGAGAATACAGGCGCCCTGATGGCAGGAAGAGAATAATTCCAGAAGCACTTGGTGTGCCAAGTCAGCCAAATACGGTATCTGCAGGGGTCCATGCTGCTCAAGCCCTTGAGTTCCCCTCTACAGCGACTGATCTCAGAAAGGAAGAAAATGGGTTAGTTCCCATTGATGTTCTTGGCATGCATGCGGGCCCACATAGAGGAGCAGTTGGCCGAAGCTCCAATTTGAAGGAACGAGGCGGGTTTACTGCTAGAGCTACCATTACAGAGAGTTTGGTTATTGAAAAGGTGGCTCCAGAAGCATCTTCACTTGGGGACAGTGGTACCATCAGTGTTGAACAGTCTGGCAGTGTGAAAGCATCTAGCTCCTCTAGTGCTGGTAGTAATACACTTTCAATCAGGGTGTTTGATAAGAGAGTAGGTGAAGACAATTTACCAATATGCTTGGAAGCTCACCTTAGAGAACGTGCAGTAACTGATGTTTTTGGCAATGCAAAGACTAGTACAATAAAGGAAACTGAAGTTTCTTGTACCAAAGGGGCCCAAACCCTTTGGTCTGATAGGATATCTGGAAAAGTAACTGTGTTAGCTGGAAATGCCAACTTTTGGGCTGTTGGTTGTGAAGATGGTTGTCTACAGGTAGCTTCTCATCCTTGGCCAACCTTTGTACTGTTTCAGTAGTTTTCTGTTTATTTTATTATGGATTGTCGTTCTCTTCCTAAGACCATCTACATTGGTGGAATAAACAAAAACAAACAATGAAGTTTGTCTTCACAAAGATTAGGCTTTCTTGTTGGTCTTCAGGACAGAAATATCTAGGCTACTGTGCTGTTAGCCTTTCATGTAGACAAAAAGGATAGGTCAACTTTACTTGCAGTTATTTATATATGCCCTCTTTTATTTGTATATCTGATTAGCTCTTGTCCTGTACATATCCTCTGATTGAAAGATATACACAAAATTTGGGAGGCGTGCAATGCCAACAATGATGACAGGATCAGCTGCAACTTTTGTAGACTGCGATGAGAACTGGAAGTTGTTGTTGGTCACACAGAAGGGATCTTTATATATATGGGATCTCTTCAGGCGCAGCTGTCTTCTTCAGGACTCATTAACATCTCTGGTCATTTCAGATCCAAAATCCTCTACAAAAGGTTCATTCTCACTAAATATTGATTGTCATGGTACTTAAATTTTGTAACAATCATGGTACTTACTTCTTTGTTTACTTCTCAGGCACAATCAAAGTTATATCAGCCAAGTTATCAAAGTCTGGTTCACCTTTGGTTGTTCTGGACACTCGTCATGCTTTCCTTTTTGACACGAGCCTTAGGTGTTGGCTGAGGGTGGCAGACGATTGCTTTCCTACTTCTAATTTTGCTAGCTCGTGGAATTTGGGTTCTGTTCATAGTGGTGAGTTGTCTGCATTGCAAGTCGAAGTCAGAAAATACATGGGCAGAAAACCTAGTTGGAACAGGTATTGACAGATAGCTAACTGAAATTTATGGATATTTATCTTGGCTATGTAGCACTGAAATGGGCTGGTAACTTGGTGTTGTTGTAGGGTGACTGATGATGGAATACAGACGCGTGCCCATTTGGAGGCACAGTTAGCATCAAGTTTGGCTTTGAAGTCCCCAAATGAATACCGCCAGTGCCTTCTATCTTACATACGCTTCCTAGCAAGGTACGTCCTTGTTGATTTTTTACCTCATGTCTCTGGTAATAGACATGCAATTTAGGATCATGATGTTCGTATGGCTTCCTCTGATTTGCAGAGAAGCAGACGAGTCACGATTGCGTGAAGTATGTGAAAGTTTCCTAGGACCTCCTACCGGGATGGCAGAAGCAGCAACTTCTTCTTCGGACTCAAAGAACGTGGCTTGGGATCCTTGTGTACTTGTAAGGACCTGCTTCTCTCAGCTCTCTCCATGCTATTGTTGCTTGCTACTACTCACTTTGTCTTATGCCCCCTTCTTTTATACACTGCAGGGGATGAGAAAGCAGAAACTCCTGAGAGAAGACATTCTTCCAGCAATGGCATGCAACAGAAAAGTACAGAGGTTGCTCAATGAATTCATGGATCTCTTGTCCGAATACGAAGGTGCTGAGGCTGACACTAACAACATTAATCAGAAAAATTCTGCTCCGCTGCTACCTGGACCCCACGAGGCTGTCGAAAAGATGGATGTTGACCCGCCAGCACCAAATAATGAGACAGCTCATCAGCAAGAACCCGTCAAACCAGTGACCGATGCTAACAAGGATCCTGTTCCGATGCTTACTGACAAAGACCCTTATCCCGGTGTCATTACAGGTGATGACAACAAGAATCCTGATGATCTGTGTGTCTCAAAGGAGAAAACCCCTGATGATTTGAGAGCCTCAAACGACAAGAACCCCGATGATCTGTGTGTCTCAAAGGAGAAGAACCCTGATGATTTGAGAGCCTCAAATGACAAGAACCCCGATGATCCGAGTCCCTCAAATGACAGGAACTGTAACCAGCTGCCAGTAAAGCAAGTAGATTCTGCTCCTTTAGATGAGGATTTGGTTGCCGAAGATTCTCTTGCTGAAGAAGATTAACCATATAATAGGACATAGTAGTACAATGGATATATAGGTACAAAGCTGCAATTTGTTGCCTGCTATTTGCAGCTTCTAAGGACAGCTTCCCGAAGGGGACAGGGAAAGCAAGCATCAGCTACTGAATCATGTCTCGACTCCTTTTGGTTTCGTTACTGCAGCTTCTTCATATGTAATAGATACTAGTTCTAATTGGTTAGTTTAAAGTTTCTTTTGCCTGTGGATTCTTTGAGACTAATTATAATCAATTGAGCTTAGTGTTGGTTTTTCCATGTGTCTTTTGCTTGATAGGTGGTTGAAGAAGCAGAATTCTGCAGAAGATAACTAGACTACTGCATTGGGCTTTTGATGTAGGCTTTTTGTAAGTGTCAAAGTGGGCTGTTGCATAGGGCTGAAATCAATGTCTTATAGTATCATTTTCACTTTTACGTTCTCACGACCATTTCAATGAAATAAGGTTTTATGTTTAAAGAGATTTTGCATAAATGACTTGAACCCAATTTTCAATTTGCACGGTTAAATGTCGGCCTAATTTTATTATAATTTCTCTAATTTAAAAGTACAAAACTGTCTTGTAACATCTCGAACTTTTCTCGATCAAGATATTGCTCGCTTTGGATCTAGACCTGCACAATTTTTGTCTTGATCATGTACTTTACTCGTTGATTTTGTATGACTATCAAGCGCTCTGAGAGCCTCGCTTAGTTGTGAATAAAATTTAAAATGCGCTACGTCCATTCTTAAAAAATAATATTGCATTATAATTTTAAGCTTGATTGTACCCCAAATGAAGAGTTAACCATAAATTTGCCAAACACTCTTTCATTAAAAAAAAAAATTGGTTTCTTCAACCCATTCCTTGTATTCTCAATCACAATCTTCATTATTATAAAAGGGCCAATATCTTCTTTCTTCATGTTACTTACAGTTGCCAATCCAGTTTATATAATTTAAGAAAAAATGATAGCCCTCAAGCAAAGGAAAGCAAAGAATTTTGTGTTAATCAAGAAAAAGTCAAGCAAAGAGACAACACAATCTGAGACACAAACAAAAACATAAATCTGAGGCAGCCAACACACAAACAAAGATCTTGAAGTGTGAGCCAGTGATGGCTAAGAAATCAATCCCAAACTTTTATGTAATCGTTTTTGTTGCTGCAGAGACAAGAAGAAGAAAAGATTATAATATATTCAGGAGTCGTTTGGAAGTTGCGATTGTTTTGTTGAGATTGTTATTATGCATGTATTGTTTATAATGCATTGTTTTTTTGTTTTTTTAGCAGAAACAATACATGGATTGTTTCTGTGATGTGACATAAACTATCACTCATTTTGAGTGATTGTTATATCTCAACTTTTAGTTGTGATTGTTGAGATAGTTGAGTTGAGATTGTTTTGTCTAAGCTTTTAGCTGATTCGACATACACAATCACGCATACCAAACGTTGTATTCTACAATGCATCAAATTCGACAATACACATGTATAATATTATACATGCATTCTCAACAATACATCTATTTAACAATCGCAACTTCCAAACGACCCCTCAGTATTGTTGCCGTGACTGGTCATCATTAGGTCTATATATATATATATATAATCAAGTGCCCTGGCAAAGACATTATTCCTTTCTTCTCGGTTTGAGGAAAGAATGAGTATAAGATATGATTTAGTTTTTTAAATTCGTTTGTAAAACTTTTGAGTTACATGCAATGCATGGTGGTTTCTTTCGCCGAGTGTTGAATTAAAAGAAAATGTAGAGCTGAAAAGGGAAATAAAAAAGGCTAAACAGAAACATTTCTTAAATTCTTTCAATGGTCATTGAATCATGAGGTTTGTAACAAAATGATTAATTTCGAATTATATTCATAACGACAGCAAAGTGAACGCTAAACGAAGAGTCTCGGTAAGATGCTGGCTAAACCTAGTGATTCGTGAATAGTTGGTTGTGCATTTGTGAATAAACAGAGAGTCGTTTGATTGCTATGTTTCTATGAGTAATTTGGCACTGAATGATTCGAATGAATCATTGAGTCATTGGGTTTTAAATGACTTGCTTGACAGTAATAAAAACTAAAATGAATCATTGGTTTCAACGAAAAATCAATTGGGACATTTACAAATGACTTGTTTTGGTAACTATATTCAAATATTAAAACTTTCCTTTTTTAATAAACCCAATATTTCATCTAAAAAAATAACTCAATACTTTCCAATTATTAAAAAAAATCACTTTCCATTGATTTTTCAATAATAATTTTTTAACAAACAACACATTTGGAAATGTCTACATTATAAAAAATCTATATGATTGCCAAATAAGTATATTTGGTCAAATGAATCATTTGGTAAATACACCAAGAAAATTACCCCCATATATACACATTTGGTTTTGATCAGTAAGTGGTGAGACTAAAAGGTATTTTTAATCACTTTCATACTTTTTAATCGGCTTCTACCTCTTTTTTTACCCAAAATTTAGAAAAAAATGCATAGTTGTAACGATTTTATCGTGATCTACTAAAAGATATCAATTTTTTATATATTTCTGGGAAAAAATTGGACCACCCATTACCACTGGTTACCATCTTGGTAGACTAGTACTAATTTTTTTTTTTTACAATCAAGACTAGTACTACTTTCTAGTTTCTACCACCTTCATTATTAAAATAAAAATTTTCTGTAAAAAATTTTCCTTATCAAATATACCACCCTCGTAACTGATGGTAAACGGTGATGAAAATTTGTTAGTATATTCATACTATCATGTATATAACCATTTTACACTATGATATAATTATACTACGATATAATAGAAAATTATGTACTACCAGACATTATCACTATAGATTATTAATATATGTCTTAATATGTTTTTTCAAATTATGTTAAAATGGATGTCATTTTGATGTAAAAAAAAAAGTGAATTTCAGTTTAATTGGAAAAAAAAAATTATAAATGATCTCACCCGCTCCCATAAAAATAGGAACGATGGACTTTGGAAGTTTCCAAAACAAGGGTGTGAAAAGACAAGATGGGTTTGGTTGGTAAAGGATGATCGAACTTTCTTTTGCAATTGCATGTCGACGATATGAAAATGCATGCAACTTAATTAATTACAAATGGTTGAGAAGAGTGTAGTTGATGGAATGTACCAAATAAAGAGCAAGTCAAAGTGCATCATGTTCTTTTTGCCCTAGCTTACGTGAACCACGGCACATGATCAGTCACATGTACGTGCCAAATAGCCATTGACCAAGAAGCTACCAATCAGCGGCGGATCTAGGGCTGTCCCGGGTCACGGCCCAGCTCTCCCCGGATCCAAAGCACGTATAGTATTTGTAAATTTTCGATTTTGGATATATATTTTAATGTTTATAGGGTTACAGCCTAACATTCCCCATCACTTTGTAAATGCGACCGAGTGCTCTAATCTGTTCTGGATCCGCCGTTGCTAGCAATCATCAGAACATGTAGTAGAAGAAGAAGAAAATGTAATTTGAACTTGCTAGCTAGAGGCATGCGCATGCATGAATATATGTTTGGAATTTTACGAGGCTACCGGTGCTTTCGGCTATAAGTTGAATTTGTATCATAGTATTGAAGGTACAATGTCCAGTTTGCACCATGAAAAAATTTGTACGAAACGATATATAGTTAATGTACACGCATAGTCTATATCGTACAGAAATCTGTACAAAAATGCATGGGTGTAAGTTGGAATATGATTCTATCCTAATATTAAAAAGGTGCATATTCAATTTGCACCATAATTTTCCCGCTCGTAAACAAAAACAGCGTTACGTACTTAGCAATATAGTAACGGAACTCTAGCTATATTTAGAACTGTTGTACAACTCCATCTGTTGTTAGTAAGTGGTAAGATCCATTATTTACCATCTCCCAACAACTCGAGTTATTGGGATCAACTTGTTTTTAACATGGTATAAGAGAGCCTTCAGTGACCAGAAAGGTCTTGTGTTTGAATTCCGGTGACTCAATTTGTGAAACACATGTTATTCTCGTATTCAGAACCTGTGCAAACAAAAGGCCTTATGAGTTAATCGACTTTCGTTTGAAGAATGTATTAATCAGTGATATAAGATCCATTAACTTCTCCCAATAACTCGAGTTACTGATATCAAATAGTTCTCAATACATATGTATATATTATTCGAAGTGGCTGCAAGAGCTCGATATTAGTTATATTATTCATGAAGAAATATAGGTGGCACATTTTTATACATGTATATCTGTTATTTTATTAATTAACGAAGAGGCCCAGAAATCGACAGCTACGGTACGTCGCCGTATGTGCTTTAATTTTCTCTTATTTGCTAATTAATTAAGGTTACTAAACATTTGGCTCACTTCATGAGTTGTTGCATGCAAAACATGTCGTGTCGTGTCTACAAATTATGGGATTCTTGGGAGTTGGGGGAATGTTCGGAATCCGTTATGTTTAAGTATCCCGAGGCTAGCTCGTTCTAATTTTCTTGATTTTTAGGGTAGTTTGGATGACCGCCGGCTATCTCGTCCCGGACTGTTTGGTTTTACCCGAAACCGAATCGAATAATTCGGACCGGGATCGGACTGGAACCGGATAGCAAACAATGCAATCTCATATTCGGGCTTAGATTTTAGGTAAAAAACCGGATAAAGACAGGATAAGAGACCTCCAACACCTAAAATCAAGATAAAATTGGGACCGGACCGGGTCAAGACCGGACTGTATCAAATCCAATCTTTGGTCCTTATATTCCCAAAAAGATCGGACTGGGACCGGATCAATTTGGTTCAATTTAACTGGACCGGACCGTATAGCCACCCCTAGTTTGGATTGAATATTTTAATGTGTCATTTGGGGTTAATTATATCACTTTTTAAATAACGTGTTTGGTTGGGGAGAGAATATGATGCATCAGTACTTGGCATGTGGTATTGTGAGAAATACCATGTAATTTGACAAATATTAATTAGAAGGTTCATATCTCAAAATACTATGTTTTTGTTTTGTTTCATTTTTGTTTTTACTCTTGTTTGGTAAATCTCAAACTAGCTACGTACTCTCGATATTTTTTTGCCAGTTTTCACTTTTGACCCAATTAGCTTTTCTTTTCTTTCTTTCCACTTTCATCATAATAACCATTATTTACTTGCCCTTCTTACCTTAATTATGTCTAACAATCAATATGCCTTGTCCAACATAGTTAGCAAAAATCCGTTTTATAACCGTATAATACACACACGTTTAATACATATGTTTAAATTTTAAATTTCTAATATTTTAATAACATAATCGTACCATAATTCACTACTATATATGTTGACCAAATATACACACATGACACATATTTGCTTATAGGCTTGGCAAATTG